TTTGGGTCGCGTTCAGTTCCTGCCAGCCTGACTCGGCTGGAAGCTTCCGAGCAGGATGTCTGCTACAGATACATGGTCTCTGCCATCGCGCCAGCTTTCTCGGAGACAGGATCTTCAATTCTGAGGATCCCACTATGTCTACAAGTCCAAGAACAGTCCAAACTCGATGCGAGGCAGGTTGATGCTGGTTCGTGGCTATATGAAGATGGAAAGCAGTTGGAATATCGTTCGTCTCCCCAAGAAGTCTCCCGTAAGAGAAAGGTTACCGACGAGCCATCAGATACCCCTCGGTCGACCAAACGTATAACGCCGTTGGAGCAACAGACTTCACAATCTCAAGAGTACGAATCATATCCCTATCCATCAGCAAGCTTAGCATACCCACAAAGCCTACAACATAACCTCAACACCATGCAAAGAAAATACACTGCTTATGGGAGATCGCAACTCCAGCAGAGTCTCCAATCCGAGTCAAATACAGTGGGATCGCAAGGTCTGATTGGTGGTGCTTCGACTTCACAATCTCTAATGAGACCTCCCACGGGCCAGACCCCGTCATGGATTTCCTCTTATGGGGCAGAATATCAGTCTGGCAGAAACCCACTACCAAACGCGGCACCATCTTTCCAAGTCTCTCCCCTATCCTCTCCAAGTCCATCGAATCCACAGCTCGTACGCTCATCGACTTTGGCGCCGCAACCCAGTCCAAGTACTGCGTCTGCAGGCTCTTCCTCAGACCGTAAATTCAATCCATACACTTTGTACCCAAATCGAGCCGTGCTTGAGGTTCGCGGGAACCTGAGTGCGATGCAAGAGAGCTGGACACCAGAAGAACGTGCTGCGAAGCGGAGGATCGTCCGGTTCTGGGGCGAGCAGAACGGCACTAACCTTAACGCCTACTTCAACCCGGTCAAAGCAGATGGGCAACCTTTGGCACATGAGCCGTATGAAACTTGCATCAGCTGTATCTATTGGGAAGAACGTGACGAGTATTACATTACCAGTGTCGACACCATATTCATACTAGAGTCGCTAGTTGCTACGAAATTTAGCATCGAGGAGAAGAATCGCATTCGTCGCAATCTCGAAGGCTTCAAGCCATGCACTGTATCGAAAGGCAAGCCCGAGAGCGAAAGCTTCTTTAAGCTCATCATGGCGCTCCTCAACCCAAAGCCTCGAGTTATTTCGAAGGATGTGAAGGTGTTCCACTGGCCCATACTTGAGCAGGCTCTGAAAAAGATCATCAGCAAATATGTATGTTCCATTTTCCTGGTCGACAACCCTTAGAATACTGACCTGTATCAGTCTGCAGACCCATCTTCCATCGTCGGTCCCCGTGGAAGACAGTCAAGAAACAACTTCAGCGGACCCCAGTCAGAAGCAGGTGCTGGCCGATACAGCGACCTCTCTTCTCGTTCCATGTCCGGCTCCGCGGTCTCAGGCGCATATGCACCAACACTTAAATCGAGTCCACTCTCGCCACCTCCTGCATCACATGGTCTATCCAGGTACTCACAAGCATCTCCTTTGCAACGACTTTCAGCCCCCAGCCTCTCGCACTCCTACACCGTCCCAACACTAGGCTCGCCCTACATGCCTAACGACACCTCCAATTCACCCTACGCCGTTCAAGTCTCTATCCCCAACCTTTCATCCGCCTATACTGCCTCCACCGTCGGCAGCCGCAGATCTAGCGGTGCACCCACCGACGACACTCTCGCATTATTGAATCAGCACTCCTGGCTCCCCCACACGCGCACTTCCTTCGCTAGTCCATACGCACCACAAGAATCGAGTGAGGCTAAATCGACTTTGGGCCTGCCGGGTTGCGCATCGGAAGATCTTTCTGCCTATATAAACACCAATGCCGCGTCCTGGGGTAGCATTGGTGATGCGCAATACAGGCGTCAATCCGGCGTGGATGATGAGACCGAGGTGACGCACTTCAAGGAAGAATGACTCGAATGTAGGACGAGGCAGCAATAGATCAGATGATAGAGACGTCGCGTTCGGTGATGCTATCATTATCATTCCGATGGTGTGGTGGAGGTCCCTTGCATCAGCTGGTGCGGTCATCTGAGTTTTCGATTGCGCGCTAACCGCATTTGGCCCACACCTGTTTTTTTTTGAAATTCTGCCAGGGAGGACATGCTCCTTTTCACTCGCACTCCCGATGCCATTCTCTACTATCGACTTTCTTAATTCCAACTTCTGATCGAGCGCTTGCAGCGAACATAGATACATACCCTACCTAACTCTTGTATTTGCATAAGCGATTGGTGTTTGAGGAGCCCAGAGGATGGCCATTCATTCCTCATGGCTAGGGGCATTGCTTGCCACGCTTCACTTCCATTTTTGTCCGGCCTTTACAGCATCATATACCATAGCATTTACACGGCGCAATTGAATCTCATCCATCACATGATCTACCTCGTTTCATAGGCTCTCTCCTTCATCGCGAAATCAAATGTTTTTGTCCACGCAGATGAGCCCACCGTACGTCGCTCAACGCAGCGGACGCTTTTCGCTCACCAGCTCTACCGGGTTGGGCTTCGTGCTTGCGGCGGTGCGCTGGGTGCATGACAAGCGTTGCCTGCCGCCTAAGCTAAATCATGCGAGGCTACACCGCCTTTGTCCATCCCTCAATCTTGCGTGTGAAAATAGCAGTCGCCCTCCCATACCGGGGCACTCACCCCATACCCCTTTGGGCCAAGCCGGGTTCTCGAGCAAGGGGCACGCGGGCGGTTGCGGTGCGTATCCACTCTCCAATTCCGAGATCGCAGTTGCTCGCAACCCCGCCCCATGATCCGGGCCAGTCTCAACAACCGCAGCGCCAGAGGACGGAGTGAATTTCCTGCCCGGTGAGGTTCTGAACGCCGTCTACTTACATATTCCATTCCGAGAACGAACCCTGCACGCTCGACGTCCGAGCGCAGATGCAGCCGTCACGACACGCGGGCGACCCGGTATGTTGTCGATCGCGGCTCGGGTGCGAAGCTCGCTGGGTGGAATACTTGGATAGAATGTGGTGAGATAACGTCAAGGAGGTGCTGGACAGAGGTAGGTGGAGCATAGACAGTCATCCCTTTCCGTACCATGCGCTGACTGGCCCCGTCTGCCCGGCTCTGGGTTGGGTATGTTGGCATAGGGATGAGGGCGCGTGTCCAAACGGATTGATAACCGGAATCGCTACGGGCGCATGGGCGTTCGTCGTTGTTAAAGAGACAAAAAATTTCCTCCTACGACTACCGCTGTCAATGACTGACGGGTTGGGTTGGCGATATCGATATGGAGCTGGCTTTTGGGTATGTTGGTGTTGGTGCGACGGTGCTCAAAAAATAAAAAAAAAAAAAAAATACAAACAAACCCACGCCACCCGGAACCAAAACACCGGGGCGCGTAAGAAACCGCTACGGCGGAAACCACGGAAATTTGGTCGAGTGGCCCCGGCGGGGGGAGGAGGATTCGGGGAAGGAGGGTGGGTTAGGTGAAGTTGGAGGGTTTGAGTGGGTATGTGGTGTAAGGAAAGGAAGGTGGGGGATGAGGTGTGCAATATCACAAAAGGGACAGCAAACAGACAAACCACGAAACACGGCGAGAGAACAATCAAGCAGCCCAACCAGCCAGCGGCAGGAGAACCATCAATCCTAGCACACAAAAACAAAACACACCAAACTCACACGGCAACACATTCAAAACGTACAAGAACCATCAACAAAGGCACCGGGGCAGCCTCGCGCGGCCGGCACTCTCTAAAAACAAGATAACGGCCACACACTGAATCCATCGCCGACAATCGCAGTCAAAGTGTTAGGTCGGTTTGGACCGACGAGACGCCTTTCGCGAGAGGACCCGGGGTCAGGAGTCAGCAGCGGTATTGGGCACGTCAGGCGCGGGAAAGGGGCAAGCATGTTTGAAGAACCACCACGAACGCGCAGTACAACGATTAAAGGAACCATCCACAGCGGGAGCTGGCGAGGAAAGAGCGGTTCAAATTTCTAAGCACACCCCAACAATAAATAGACTGAAGAACACTTTCCTTAGGTCGTCGACCTACTCGTAGCACCTCCGCGACAAATACCGCACCCCCAACGGACTTTGGTACCTAAACCCCACCAGCCCTTGGAACAGGTTCCAGACCGCATTATCCCAATGCAAAGCAAAGCCACAGCCTACCCCACGCATAAAAATAACGGAAAACCCCATCCAGCGAAGAGAGTCCCCAAGCATGGGACCGGAGTCAAATCTACTCAACCTTTTATAAAGAGCAGAGGCAACATCAAACCATTGGACGCACGAAAAAAGGGACCATAAAACCCCCACACCTATTCCTACGCACCCAAAGGCCCAACACCAAACACAAAGCCCCCACAGAAACAAAGCGATGATCCTCGCCAGCCAAGGTGATACATCCATCTTTGGACAGCATGCCGCCTCGTGTTCTGAGAATTCATGCAGATGGCTGAAGATATCTTCACAGCACGTCATTTATTGAAAACATCGTTCTTTATTCTGCCCAAGAAGAGGTGTCAATGCATCCCGGGTAATTCAGCCAGAAAAAGACTTGTGAACACTTCGGTAGGTAGCCTAGCAGCCTCCTTTCGGCTCGTGAGGGTAGACGACTGAGTATATGACATTCATCTTCCGGGCCTCAGCATCAGTCCGGACAGCAGAAATCCTCTCTTTCTTGAAGGAAGACAAGCTACCTACGGATTCGCACTCGAATGGCAAGGCTGGTACGTATCCGTGTAGATCGATCTCAGAAGCTAACGGTTGCAGGAATCTAGCAAGGTTCATAGAGGTGATCTAAGGCATCCTAGACTCCACGAAGACTCGGTGGACATCATTCGGACAAGAGTTTGGAAAACGTTCTATCCAAACATCAACCATACGTGGGGCCCAGGCACCAAGTTTTGCCACAGGTCGACATGGCAAATTGAGAAGCACGCCGCGTCCGCTTGCGTTACTAAGATTCTATTATACTACGCCATCAGCTCATTATGGATGAGGGATGGCTGCTGCGTGAGAAGCACCACTCGGGCAGACTCTATGACTGCCAGCTGGGTACAGAGCGAGAGAAGTATGATTTCGAATCAGTGTGGGTAGGAACCGAACAAATTATATGCTCAATGTGCGAAACCGTCTGAGGAGTGTGCTGAGGAGTCTGGTTGTTGATGCGGAGGACAGGGCGAATGGTGAAGGGAGCGGATGCACGGTTGTTGTCAGATGAGATTCTGGCTGAGCATGATAGATCAATGGTTCAACACAGGTGTCAGAGCGAGTGGAAAGTTGGACGGTTCATAGGGGTATATACTTGCTCAACACGGCACCAGAACAACACCTGCCGTCCGCACGTCTCTGCACACCGCTTTTTCAACATCTCGATACAGCATCTCCGATGGCAACCCTCTTTCTCCTTGTCACGCCGTGTATCGCTCTAATGGCCCCTCTTATCAATCCAGCCATCAGCATTCTGGCTGTGCTAGCACTTACTGTCATGCTGAGCGTCGCTTTGACAGCTCTCTTCCTTTGGACGTGGAACACGGGAGACCACGATGAAAACGAAGCCGTCGCCGACGACGCAACGAACATCGTCCGTACGGCTTTGGCGGCGCTGGCCAGAGATCCAGGAGCGACGTCTGCGTCTTTCCGCGTGGTGAATGGCGTGGTGGTGCATCGAGATCCTACGGCTGGTGTTCCAAACGGTGGAGACGGACCTGCGAATGGGGTTCGGTCGGAAGAAGTGGGTTCAGGGAGCCAGGATTTTTCGGGGACGCACGGACGAGAAATGGAGTCTTAGCCGGAGCTTTTTCACGCTGGGGGCAAGGATTCTGCAAGCTCCAACTCCTGGAAGGGAAACGCGGTCGTCGAGGGGCTTGGCGGATTCTGGGTATCGGTTCGGAGCTTAGAGGGTCCGTAAAGGGTTGCGAAGATGGTGTAGAGATTGGACGGAACGAGCGCGACGAACATCGAGGGAGATTGGCAGCTGGTTGGTAGCATTGCAAAGTGTCAAAGCCCGTTTCACTTCAATCAGGCGAGTAATTATCAAGCGTTTTTTACAGTGGTCAGGTAGTATCGATATCGAGGGTTGTTGGCAGAGTTTGCCGGAAGACGATGCCTCCTTAGCGAGCTGGTGATGTATTTATTGTCTCATGCACCCTCTAGCTACCCACGTCAGAACGCGTGCTTGATTATCTCAGAACGGTTGCCAGCCGAATATGACTGCGTTGAGGACCTTCTTTGGGGGGCTGAGACCCATCCCATAGCTTGGCAAATTGAAGGTAATTTCTCTTGGCAGAAACATCAAAATGCTGCTTTCTTTACAATGCAACAACTTTAAACTGAGAAGATTCACGATCAAAATTTGCATGTCGAGATTTTGAATCTTCACAAGAGAAGGAAATGCGATGCCAAAATTATTTCTGTAAGGCGCTTTGTTATAGAGCTGTGCTGTAGAAAGCAAGGAGATTTTGATATTCGGTCCGCAGCCCCTGAAATATACTACCTGCCAAGATGTGGGATAGTTTCGATATATCTGACTTTGGAGATTCGATGGCCTGCGATCATTTCGTGTCATTGGCTGGCTGGCTAAAGCCAGATGCCGGTTCAACAGTGTCGGTCTGATACAAAGTCCATGGCATTCAGGCAAAGTGCCAGGAACAGTGGCAGTATTAAGCGCGGGATTTTTGTGTTTTAACTTGAACAATGAGTAAATCGAGAGCTATCCGCTGTCTTTGGGTGGGAACAGCCCAGACAGAGTCTTGAGATAAGTGATAGCTTACTCGTCGTCATTGGTATCAACCATTTTCCAATTCGTACCGCATTAAATGCCACTTTCTCTGGCAGCACACCTACATTCGATGTCGCTTGCTATACTCTGATCAGCAAGGGCTTGCTGCTAGTGGTTGCAGCAGCAGCAGCAGCGGCTGGTATAATCCCACCAGGAACTAGGAACAGATGTGAAACAAGTATCTGATGTGCTGGGCGTGTGTATCAATAAACTCAGAAGATGCAGTGTGACTGGGGAGCACCTCGTCAAAGTACTTTCTCAAGCGGCGAACGCCATTCACCTTTTGTTACTCGTTGACACAGCCCCTGCAGCACGCCTGCAGCTCACTCGAAATCTTTAATCCCGAGATAGATTTGAGCGCTGAGACGCACCCAAACAGCTCCAGCATAGTATTTCCCGGGGATCCATGTGTTGAATTCACACAGCGCACGATCCATTGTCCATTTGACGACGTCGGGTCCTTCGGCACATTCCAAGCCGCCTCGACGCTCCGTATTGAATAGTAGAGGTAATCGCACATTGGTGAAGCAGCACTGGCCTAGCGTGTCCTCTGAATTCTGCATGGTTTCCGTGCCAAGAATCTTTGCAAGTGAATGTCCGCCGTCGCGAGCAAGATTGAAGCAATAGTACCTGATCTTGTCCTCGCCACCGCATACGTCTGTGCGAAACTTGATTGCCTCTGGGACGCAGAGATATGGCGTTTGATCGATTGTGGCTGCCCATTTGAATAAATCACCAAAACGGCCGGGGCCTTGGGTAACACTTGACATGCCATCGATATCGTCTTTTGTGTCGACATTGTCTTCCATTTTGGCCTCGAAGCTGTGTGAAGTGGGGATCGTGGAACGTATGAGGTGTTGGTTGCGAAATGGGACATAGAATATGGCGCATGCCCGGGGCGTGTAGAGCCATCTATTGTGGCAAGCGGATATGTCAAACATTGTTTCTTGACCACAAAAAGTGATTTACTTGTAGCAGTTGCTGGTGAAAAAGTCGGGATCAACGCGTACTAGATGTGTCAAGTCGATGTGACCGATACCGTGAGCGCCGTCAATGAGACTCAAGACATTCAGATCCCGGCAAGCCTTCACGAGTCCCTCCCATGGCAGGCGTACTCCAGGAAAAGTGACCACGGTATCGAACATGGCAATTGTCGCATTTCACCCTTGCTGCCGCACTCTCTGTATGGCGTTGCGGAGCAGCTGTATCAGCAGGGCGTCGTCAATCGGGAAAGTCACATCAATGCATCTGCATTCAACTGGCGTAGTTTCGCACACATACTGAATGGCTTTTTCGCACGCCCCATAAGCGGTGCAGAAATACAGTATGGTATCGCCTTCAATGAACCTCAAGTTGCGTAAAACTGTATTCACCGCCGTTGTGGCATTTGGCACGAACACAACGTCATCAATGAATGCCCCCAGAAGCGTTGCAGCCCCGATACGGGACCTTTGTAGAAGTTCTGGAATGGTGAATCGTATGTAGGGATCTGATCTAGCCTCAATACGGTCTTGCAACGCTCGCTGATGGTTACGTATGGCTGTGGGAAATGCTCCATAAGATCCATGATTCAGCGGAGTATAGGCTGGATCAAAAGCAAAGTGCTCGTCTCGCGTCCCTTGGCCAAAGGTAGTAGCTTCCAAGCCCATGTGTGAAGGCATCTTGGCTCTGTACGGACCGTAAGCACAACTGGACTCGATGCTGGTGAATCAGTGCCCATTGGGGCCAGTATTCTTGGTGGTCAGTGCCTTGATAGATCAGAGTATATAGGAGGAACAATTACATAAGGGAAACAGAAGCAATGACCCCTAAGGCTGTGATATTGATCGATTCCGAGGCAGGCTCGGGCTCGATGGTGAGACTAGCTCAATTGGGAATGGCTTCCTTAGCGTGGTCGTTACAACTTGCAGCTTCTGTCACATGGACTTCTAATTTTTATTTTGGCCCATACAACATACCAGTATACTAAATACCAATGGCTCTTGTTCTTTCATGAAGGCCGATCAAACACCGCCAGCAGCAGGCTTGTCGGTCTCCGAATTGACGAAGACGGGAGAAGGATGAGCCAAATGACCCTATTGCTTTTGCAGGCTCGGTCAGAGTGGCCGATTGATTTATGCAAGCCCTCACGTGCCTTATTTGCCTGGTCCGCGTCTTACAAAGGCTGTCAGCCCACGCTAGGTACGCCAATGCTTCGCGGAAACATTTCGAGGACAAAATGCTTCCCTGATAAGCCAGGGCAGAGGTTTTGTCAACCAGGGCATGGATCCACCTTCTGCGGTGGCCTCAGTGGTGGCAGTGCGATCCTTGCAGCCCAAATCAGCACGGCCTTTGCGGAATTGCGCAACGATACCGCAGAACTTCCGGGGCGACTACATGCCCTAAGTAACGAAGTCGCTGACATCGAGTTTGTTCTCTACCAGGTCGTTGCGGCTTTGCAAGAGCGCAACTGCATGTCCGACAGTGACCAAGGATCCATTCCCGTTCTGCTCTAACAAGCCGATACAAAGCTGAAAGATTTGAAGGACATCTTCGACTACCTCGCCGGGTCTTGCACTCGAAGAAGAGTCTTGTGGAGGGCGGCCGTGTGGAGAAAGTGGCTTCCAAAGTTACAAGCCTTACAAGCCGATGTCCGAGCCATCAAGTGCAGTCTCAATGTCTTGCTAGGCGCTTCAAACTCGTATGCAAACATATCGAGTACTCAAAATCCCCAGCGATTACACTGACGGAATGCCGACAGACGTGACTTGATACGCGTGAGGCTGGACCTTGAAAGCCTGTCCAGGACGTCGTCCAACGAAGCAGATTATCACGCCGATTTTCGCCTTGAAGTTTCTAGGGACCTTGCACAACATGACTTCACCCTAGCGCAGACTGTGGACCAGGCTACCAAGAAGGTTCACAAAGTTGATGAGCGAATAAGCAGAATAGAGGAACTACTCATGGCCCAAGCAGTCAGTATTGATAAGTCACAGTACCCTGAAAGCAGACTCAAACCCCAGCCTACGGCGTTGGCGATGAGACGACGACCTCAACGCGTTGCTTCCACTTCCGATACAGAAAAGTGGGCATCAACGCCTCAAGCGGTCGGCATTCGTGTGAAAAAGAATGTTGGGTTTGTCTGTCGCCCTGCTTGCACATGCATATGCCATTTAGAGCGCAAGTCTAGTTCTTGCGGATACTTTGATCATGTCATTGGCCGGCTATTTGTGGGCTATTCCGGGCTGCCTCTGCTCAACTCTCCGTGCGACTCAACTATGTGCCAACGGTCACGAACTCCTTACGTATCCGCCGAAAATCGGTTTCCCTCAGGCTTTTTTTGGTCTCAAATCTTCCGTCTCGAGCTTGGTTACCAGGCACAGATTGGACCCCATTGGGAGCTGACCACCTTGAGAAGAGTACCCGAGTCGGCACGATGTGTGAGATTCGCATTAGAAGGTGATATTTCTGGCCTCAATAGTCTCTTCCAGCATGGCTTGGCGTCGCCTAGGGATGTGAGTAGCACCCGTGGCTACTCGCTACTGCGGGTAAATTCGAGGATTGCCTTTTCCTTCCAAACCTTGGCAGAAAATATATCTAGTTGGCTCTCTACGGGCAACAATACGAGACCTGTCGTTTCCTTCTTGCAGCTGGCTCGGATCCGGACTACAAGTGAGCTGCCCTGAATAGAGACTAGTAAAAGGGTTTGAATTACCAAGTCAACCTCCTAGGCCCATTGCTACTGATGACGACTGCCCGGCTGCTAAGGCTTGCGACATACTGCTTCGAGGAAACCTCAGTACCAGCGTCATAGAGGTCCTTCGATGCATATTGAGAGACAGTGAGTTTATCATGAACCAAAACTTTGCGCCCATTCATAAGATCGTCCTCGAACTGTCCCTCCAGGACTCCGAGACAGAGATGCAATGCGCCGCACAGCACTGGAGTGGGCAGCCGCCCGCGGAGATGACCGAGCAGTGCTTACACTTCTCAGCTTTGGAGGCAAGCCCAACATCACTGACAACAAATTGAATACGCCCTTGACTCTTGCTTCCAATCAGGACAACACGCTATGCGTTCAACTTTTGCTCGAGGCCGGCGCTCTTGCAAATCCGGTTCTCCCTTTAGGCGTAAAACTTAGCAGCCCATTAAATTGTGCTGCACGGTATGCAACTGATCCCCTGCTCTTGAAGACGCTGTTCGACTTCGACGCTGACGTAGAGGCCAGTAGCGTCGACGGCGTTGCGCCACTATTGCATGTGGCCCGCGGAAAACCTGTCAGCTTTGCAGAGCTGCTATTGGACTACGGAGCAGATATCAACCCAGCTTCCAAAAACGGGCTGACATCTTTGACGGCTGCGATCATTTTCAACAACCATAGCGTTCTCCGCTTGCTGCTCGATCGATGGTTTGAATACACAGAATGTCCCAGGCTCAAAGGCCATCATCTTCTCGAATTCATTATAGATTATGCAGACATCGAGACTATGTCGATACTAACTACTGCTACGCATCTTCAACAGCTATGTGCCAGAAAAGTCCGCCGCCCAACTCCGTAAGCGGCTCGATCTGACCGATGACCGTGTACTTGCATTCGAGAGTCTGCTCGATGCAATCCGCGATTATCCCAAGCTCTCCAAGTACCGTGAGAGCCTTGCAAATTCAGGAGCGCTGGACTTGGAGAAAGACCCGGAATCCAATGGAGAAGACACAGATGACTATGAAGATGCGCGTGGAAGTTTGAGCATCGTTTCAAATGACTTGAGCACGCTGGCCAGGCAACCTCCGAGGCCAGCAGTGGTAGTGTCTGCCGCAGAAGAACAATGAAACCGCTGATCGACGTGCACAGACTGTCTTTCAGACCTTTTTGGAAGGTCTGGTGGCAACGAAGAGCTGATCCCAATCATATCCTTCATGCAGAGGACTTTGTTGACGGAATTCTCTCCCCCATTTTAAAACAAATGGTCAATTCCTACTATACTATGGGAGAATTGGTCTAATGATACAGCGAATACAAGGGATGCGAGGCCTTGTGCATGAAGTGCGTCTCCGTTAGAGTACCGATTCTTTTCTCTCCATTTTTTCTGCCTCTTTGTGCTATCCCTCATTCTTCAAAGTAAACACTCATTGCTATCAGCGAGTATGGAAGATGTTCGAATTGATTTGCCGTGCAGTCTGACGCTCCTCTGCAATGACCGCAAGAACTACGCGTAGTGGTTTACATTGCGCCTGCTCTCCAAGGCGACGAAGTCCTTGTTTTTAAGGTGTGATTTGTGTGACCAATATTTTCTTCACATACGCCCCTGAGTTCGACTCTCACGACACAAGCAAGCTGAAGGCCGATTTGCGTCCTAGCAATGTTAATCGCGAGCTGCGGAAAGCTTACACTGCATTCTCGTCTTCACGAGACGATGGATGGGGTTTCGACATGGCAGTAACGGATCTTTGGGAATGCAGCTCTTTTGGTGAAAATTGACAGGAATTAGAGGTTAGTATTGGCATGGAGGATCCAGTTCCATATGTCTGCAGTATTGTAGTATCAAGCCGACATAAGGAGACATGATATACCTCGGCTATTTCTCTGTTCGGTATCGTGATAATTGGCAAACGCTCCGCGATTGGACAACAAGGCGTCGGGCGTCTCAACACAGCGGCTAGGTGACTCAGCACTTAGGAGACTTGTTGTTCACTGTCCTACGTTGTCTATTCTGTCTCTTCCTAAACACTACTTCCCTTCTCTTACCCAACTCTACCATTCTCTCCATACTTCATCAGTACAATCAATCTCACGGTAGGCATACTATGTTTGCGTATGCAGTTGCGACGGAGAGTTGACTGTAATATCAATCTTCGTGGTCCACCTACCGCCGCGGCAACCATTTAGCATGGCGTAACATCAGATTACCTCATTCGTTCGCAGCCGGATTCTCTTGTTGTGATGCATTTTTGGGTCGAGTAGTAACATCCAAGAGACTGCATTGGTGGACACAGTGCAAGGACTCCCTAAGCCTTGACGTGACGTCTTCTTGCTCAGCACAAGAGCTGATTAGCTACCTTGGCTTCGTGTGACCAACGTTTGTCTGTCATCCTTTGGCGTGTGTCCTCCAGCATCAAGGCCTGCACCATGACACGTTATACACGCGAACAGCGCATAAACACGCGTTGTACAACACACGTGGACCCTATTCGTAAATCCTACAAAGACCTTAAGGATGACCGGGTTGCCCGTGAACACCTAGGCGGTGGCCACGCGTTAGCTACTCGGACTAATGATCAGGTTGATAGAGGTATGAACAACGCCTACCACTCGTCCGCTAGTCTCGTATCACTAACAACAGCCGTTCAGGTACTACTGCTGCCTCCGAGACCCAGCAACAAGGAGCCGAGGAGGACTTGACGAATGATCACCATGAGTCCGGTTCAAGTTCCCCGGATGCAAAGAACATGAACGTCGAAGAGCGACTGAAGATAATGGAAGAGGGGGTTGCCCAGAAACCGAAGGCCAATAATTCAGTGGCAGTGGCTCTGACCTTGGAAGAGCGAGTCACTAGACTTGAAGAGATGCTCAAGAAGAATCTCTGCATTGGTAATGAGTCAGAGCATGGTCCTGAGAGGGCGGGAGCAGTTCTCGGACTGGCCATGGTACCTGGAACGGGCATAGCACTTGGACTAGGCATGGCACTTGGACTGGGCATGGCACTTGGACTGGGCATGGCACATAGTGGAAGCTCACGGGCCCCAGATCCAAAAGTCTGCGATGATGGCATCAAGCCGCAACACAATATTGCTATTGCTGCAATTGCTGTTGCCACCTGTACATTTGTTGTCTTTCTGGGCCAACTCCTCGGGCCATATCGTGCGACTGCTGAAGGTTACTGGAGATGCCAAACTTCCGTCATGGGACCATGGGCAAAGCGGACACGCCTGCAATGGCGAGGGGACCAATTTCGCTTTGAGACACTCCTCACGACACCTTGGTTATCCCTCGCAGCATTCCGTTTTTATCGAAACCAGCAAAGATTTACTACATTCTCCACAGAAGACCAAGTTGAGTGTATATCAGGGTCGTCAGCGTTAATATCTCGTACCATGGGTGTCTTCCAGGGCAGAGAGGAGGAAAGTAGCGATTTGGCATGCTGGCTACCGCTTCTTGAAAACCCTGATCACAACGAGTGGAATTTGCAGAGATATAGATGCTACTATCCGCAGTCACTACATGGTAGTGGAAAAGCGCACGGTCAGCTAGTCGGTCCAGCAGTGCGGTTCCAAAAAATGTCGTGGGACTTCATGCCGCCTGACATTGTGCGCCCCCTTGCAATAACAACTGTTGCCGATCTCGCGATAATAGCTCGGCGGCTTGGAATGTCGTGGAAAGTATTCAACCCAGAAGGAGGCAGCATGAGAGCTGAAGGCAATGGACACAGCATTTCCTCTACATTGGCAGGATCTATTGGGCTAGTACTGCAGTACATCCATCATGAAGGTGGCGTGACATCCTCTGAGAAGTCGATCTCTCGACATGTCGAAGAGTTGCCAAAGAGTGAGCTATACATTCCAACACGAGAGGCTGATATGATGGGGTTCGGCATCTTGCCCGGGTGCGACATTCTTGATGTCCCAACGTTTAATGTGGGAACGACGGACGAGGTTTACGCAACCATGGATATTCTAGACAACACCCGAAATGCCAGTGCGAGATTGAGGGACCTGAATTGCCTTCTGGTGGGGAAATGGGATGCGCATTGCATGTACGGATTTTCGGATATTATTGCCCTCGCTGCGCCTATGCTTCGTCGCAGACACAGCACCATTGTTCGAGTTCCCACGCCAACCGAATACTGCTCCAGTCTTCTGTCTCACAAAGAGTGTTTTGTTGTGTTTTACAACCGACTCAAAGAGTATTTGGGCACCCGGTCCGAGGATAGGTTTGAGCAGGCAATTTGAGTCTTGGAGCAGTATGAACGGCTAAAGTCACGACACACTGAATGGGAAAATGAAGCGGAAAACAACAACAAAGTCAACGATTCCGATTTGACCTTTCTTGACAACGTGCATCATTGTTGGGATTCAACGACGGACTATTTCGTGCAACTCCAGGAGGCACATCACTTGCACTACCTTGATCTGATGGCGTCCCACATCTCTCATGCTGTCAATTATTGGGGCGACGCATGGCAACAGCTCAAACAAGGAAAAGCTCGCGACAACTATGGCCTCAGGGCTCTGGAAGCGGAAGGCGCTCACCTGTATTTTGACTACTTACCTCTTATCGTCGAGGACATGCGGAGAAAAGGGTTTGAGGGACCCGAGAAGCTTGTGCATGAGGCATGGTTCACGCTCATGTTCCGTGCTTTTTGTTGGTGGAGGTGTCATTCTTTACATCCAGGGGAAGATCCAAGCTACAAGGGCTCGACACTTCCTTCGCGTTACTGGGACAGCAAGTTGCCCGTGTACATCGTCTAGGCAAAGGAGACACCCCATCGGAGGAATAGATCGACTCCCAACCTAGATTCACCCGTGCAGGATCGCTCTGATCCATTTCAAGGATCCGGCGAGAACGCAATGGTCGTGGAACGAGTCTCAGGAGCGCCGAAATTTCTCCATAGAATGTTGGCAAGTATGAAGTCCTGGACGGTATGAATAGAATGAAGGAAATTAGTTGTTCGTATTTGGCCAGAGAACCTGGTTTGGCGTTTGGATCCTTTGATTACAGTAGTCACTCTGTTCCTGATCCTACTTGTATGCAAACATAATGAATGATCCCTCTCTTCTACCAGACCGCATTCTCTCCAAACCATAGGTCACAGTAAGTACTTGATGGCTCTTGTCCACCTGCTATGTCGTTCTCAACCCCTTAATGGATTCCTCATAAGTGCAGACTCTCTTCTCTTCTCCTTCCATAAAATAGGTTTTCTATCCAAACATGCGCGACTTCATATGCGTTACAACTTCCCCGTCTTGACCCAAGGGGCCCAACACCACAGTCGTCTCCAGATCGCCTTGCCTCCGACGCTTGAGTCTTGGCGTTATGGGCGATCGTCACGTGAATATCACGCTAGTCTGTATGAATAATCTCTTGCCAAGAGTTGCGCACGGTCCCTCGGATAGAAAAGTACCTTGGGTAACTGGAGTTGGAAAGAACCTCCACCTTCGCGAAGCAAGTCACGACGATGAGGTTCACAATCATTACCTCTTTCCTTTGCCTAATAAATCTCAAAGTATGGGCGCACCCTGCGGAAGACGCAGCTCCAGGAACAATGCCGGCAGAGCCCCCTACACCCATTGAAACCAGCATCCCCAACCGCAGCTACCTCCTCAAACTCGACTGCATCTCCTGCCCCTTCCTCATTCGCCCCTCCAACCGCAACCAATGGGAAAAAGACCCGCGCTCTAACCAATTGACCCTAGCGCTCTACATTGATGGTCCCCACCCTCACCTCTTCCTCCAAGGTGAAACCCTCAACCCACTTTATTACGAGCGCCGGGCGCCCTCGTTCTACAGCCAACCGCATCCCTTCGCCCCGCCCTTCACTGCGAATCAGATTGGTGTGAATGAGACGTTAGAGCAGGAAGAGAATAACAATGGATGGGGGATTCCTGTACGGCAGTTCGAGTTGGCGTATGAGTTTGATGTGGTGACCTATGCGCCGAAGGATAAGGTACGGGAGTGGGAGGTTCTCATCGAATTTCAGATTACGGGGTTGAGGCATGAGGAGCATGTGCCGAAGGATATCCCTTTCTCAGGTGGCGTGTCTTCTCCGGAGACGGAGGGCGTGGTGCCGGGTGTGACTAGCGTTGTTAGGCTGGTGCTGGGGTATACAGCATTCGAGGAGATAAGGATCGATGCTTTGGAGCTGATGCCGAAGGAAACGATGGCTAAAGTCGCGGGCAAACAGATCGAAGTACTGCGCAAGGCGGCGGAATCGAAGGGGGAGAAGAGTATCACAACTGCAAATTGGGGCGGAAGGCTGCGCGATATCAACGGTCCAGACGGCAAGGACATATATACCGAGCATGCCTCGTTCAAGCCGGGGGAGTGGAATGACTGCGGTAGGAAGGATGAGTGGGGGAGGCAGATCATGTGCAAGGTGGACGACTTCAAGGCGTGGTCACCAATGATATTCGTGATATCACTAATGTTGCTGGCGGTCGTATTGATCGGGATATTTGTTTTGGTTGTGTTTATGGCCTGGCTCGCAATCCGCTTCCTGGGAGGCCAGAAGATTCAGGAGGTGGTCACGGCTAAGGGCGAGAATGATGCTTTGCTGCTCTTTGGGGATGAAGAGCTTTGAGGATCAAGAAGAGAAGACGAAGGAAGAGGTTATGGCGACTCAACCAAGCTGTCCGTTCGGATGAACGGAAGGACAGCCAGCAATTTGGTCCCTATCAGCATAACAGCGACAGCAACTTATAAGTGCACCAACCCCAAGTACCGGATGGCATTGCGATAAAGGTATAAGAACTTGAAGCAATGACTTTGAACTTTATGACGGATGCCTTTTCGAGCCCACTAGGCGGTCGTCATAAGGACGCGTTGAAGGCGACGTTTCGGGGACTGTCAACACTTCAGCGCGCCACCCACTCAGTAAAAGAAATAGCTGCTTCTCCTCCAGGGCCCCCTTCACACTCCACTCAACTCAAAACCGCCACCTTCATCTGGTTACTATCGTCTGCCTCTAGCCAATTAGTCCGTCTTGCTGTTCGAACTGCGGAAAGCTTCATTTGCTAGTACTTCGACCTTGCCCATAAGATTCCGCCAAGTCAATCCTAAGGTGAGATCTGCGTAATGCATCGGCATCCTCTAGGTAAACTGATAGAATCAAAAGACATCAAGATGCCAAATATCCGAGCCTATTTTGGCTCTATCGTCATCCGCGAGATCTGTTTGGTTTTCCTGACAATCGACATTGACAATGCCTATCCCATGACTGTTGCAACGATTTTTGGTACTATGTGGATCATCCTCTCGCTTTTCGGACAGGGCGGGGTGTCAACATACTATGCAAGGGATACTCGTCCTGCGCGTCGTTGTTAGGTTGGGAATCTTGCCGCCGTGGACGTCAACTTGGGTGGTTGTCGCGCTGGAGATCACTGTGCAAGCAAAGAGGAAAGGAACGAGATATAAAGATGATGCTGGCGCGAATGCGCTAGGAGATGTTCAGGAGGGTGCTTAAGGGTCGTGTCCCCAAAATGAAGCCTTCCGCTCAACTTGAGTGCAATTAATAAACACATCGAAGACCCAAAGAAACACCTTGCACAAGGCAATTTGCCAATAAAGTGGTACCTCTTCGGCGTGCCTTTCCGCCCCGCCTGCAATGCGATCTTTACGCTCTTACCTTCCCAACATTTCGACTGCTGAACGCTCATGGATGTTGGACATCATCTTTCAGATTGCTGTTGCGCTCAGCTTGGGCGTGCACTCAGCGTAGGATTGGCCATCTTTGTCCCTGTCTGTTGAAATGTCTCAGCTTGGTCGCACATGTATCTGTTGTTAGCCGTTTGTTATAGCCCTTGTCACATTTTCCGGTCTTTTCGAATTCTTCATACAATGAAGTCGATCCGCCTTTTGCTTAGCCTATCGGGCTAGCTTGAAAACAATGGTCGGTTGTTACAATGGTCGATTGATTCAATGATTTCGGTTACACAATGACTTGTATCCGCCTTTTGCTTGAAGTATCAATACACTGCCTTTGTCGTACACTAACTGGCTTTGTCTCTAGAGAAAGCACGCGACAATGTATGTTCATGACACTTCGCTCGTTGCCCATATATACCCTGTCCCTGCTCCAACTTTCTTCATTCTCCATCATCCACTCACACACTCATCCTCGAACTTCAACAGCAGTCTTCGCTTTCCAAAGCTTCCTTCATCACACAACGCCCATCAACACAATCAACATACCTTTCTCCACCATCAACATGCCACGCCCAAGCGTAAGCACCAACCCAACGAGTCGCGCGATGACTAGACGCGGCTCTGTGATGGTTTCTGAGGTGTCGAACCAAGTAAGCTCCCTTGGTCCTCGTTCCCGTGGCACTAACGGCTGCAGCTACACCGTCCAGAGCTCCACAACGACCACTGTCCGTGACCGTCTTGGCAGCTCGACGCTTCATCGAGAAGACTACTCTCACTATGAAAGCGGTTCATCTCGTGACGACCACTCTCACTATCCCATCTGTCCATATTGTGGCGACTACGCTCACTATGCGAGCGGCTCATCTCTCGGCTACGGGGACCATCGTGCGACGCGAGCATTGGGTTACGACTCGGACTCCTCAGACGAAGGCCATGTGACTGAGGAGGTCTATGTTCCTCTCGGTAGATTGACTCTTGGAGAATCTACCAGTTCTCGCACTGGAGGATCGCACAGTTCTCGACACACCTCTCGACCCACCGAGTCTCGATCCACCGCTCGACCCACCGATTCTCGCCACACTTCCCGGCCCACCGAGTCTAGATCCACCGCTCGACCCACTGAGTCCCGACACACCAGCTCTCGACCCAGCGAGTCTCGACACACTAGCTCTCGACCCACCGAGTCCCGACACACCAGCTCTCGACCCACCGAGTCCCGACACACCAGCTCTCGACCCACCGAGTCCCGACACACCAGCTCTCGACCCACCGAGTCCCGACACACCAGCTCCAGACATCCCAGCTCCCGACAATCCACCGCCCCAGGTACATCAGGGGAGCTCACTGTATATGGAGAGCGATCATCCCATGCGCCCTCGGTCAGCCGACACACCAGCTCCAGACATCCCAGCTCCCGACAATCCACCGCCCCAGGTACATCCGGGGAGCTCACTGTATATGGAGAGCGATCCCATGCGCCCTCGGTCAGCCGCTACACGACCGACGACCGTGAGACGGGATCGAGTAGACGCAACACTGACGCTCATGGCGGCAGGGAAGTAGCTCGTCGCCACTGATCTGTGAGATCGCGGGCGAAGCTGGGCAGGGGATGGAGTTGTTGGGAAGGAATAGTGTTGAATTGCAACGGAGATTGTTTTTGTAAGGTAGAGTTAATACTTAATATGCGAAATCTTTCCTCACTGCGCGGATCACATTTGCGAACGAATCTGGCTATCAAATGCATGAAATTCTTCTCTAGCCATTGGAAATGGGACTGACTTGCATTTTCTGATACAAACAGAAGATGCAAGGTCATATTCCTTTTTCCTTTTCATTATCTAACCAATGCTCAAACTCTTGCTCCACGGTGTACTTACCATTGATCAGGACCTTCCAATACCGCGGGTTGATAGATGCATCTATTTAGCAAACAAACATCTGTCTTTGTCCTTTTCAAAGGACAAAGCTCACAAATATCCTTTCTAGCTGCATGATCCCTGCTGCTGATTCTGGGACATGATATCATAAATCAGAAATTCAGGGTGTCAGCTATAAAGTTCATTATCCTTATGTTTGCCAATGGTACATGCTCTATTGTGTTGGAGGTCCGGGCTCTAAATATAGTATTTCTTGTGGTACATACAACAAACACTACTGGCTTTGTCTAGACAGTCAATATAAATTCTGTGAAATCTTCGAGGCACAGAAAGATTATACTAGATGTCTATATAAATGCTCAGCTCCTTCCTTCAGTGCTTTCTTCCAACATCCTCCACATACAGCTCTGGGCCTCAACGCCGACTTTGAACCTGGGATAGTCTTTGAATCCTCCAACTCCACACCATACCTCACTAAACCTCTTACGGACTCCTTACGTATCTTACATCCAGCATCCAAACTCCAACTCCATACCTTCTTCAACGCACAACATGACTCGCACTCGTGCCGGACGCGACTTCCACGGCCTGACTGAGGCCAACTATCGTGAATTTGAATTAGCATACTACAAATACCACCCGCAATCGCGCTCTGTCTCGTTTGAGAGATATCTAGATAACGGCACACATGTGAGGGAAATAGAAGAGGCCGTGGTGAACAACTTTCATGGAAACAGGTCGGGCCAATGTTGTGGCTACGGTGCTCGTGGACATGGCCACCGCTCGCATCGCTTTGGGTCCGCTGATCGGAGGGGATCGCGTGTGCCTCTTTCTACATCTCGCTGCGGTCCAGCCGACGACTTCGACCGTGTTCAGTTCAGGGATGTTCCATGTGATGGCCGACGTGGAGCTGGAGGGTCCCTCGATCGTGCAGGACACCCACTTCCTCGTGGTCATTGTAGGGTACCGTCACCACCTCCCTCCCGCTGTGGTGGAGAGTCCTCGCGCCCACGGCAACATCCTCAGTCCCAGTGGAACCGTCACCCCGCTTCAGATGGCTACTCCGGCGAACACTGGGGTTGCTATGGTCCTCAGGATTGACATTGTGAGCGGGATGGTAGTTGTCGGTAGGCATAGACGATGATGTATAAGCAATGCGGGAAAGCGAAGGAAGTTGGGACAGACTGCCCCTAAAGAATTACTAGAGCATCAGGAAAAGAGCTTTGATTTTACGAGATGACATTGCGTTGCGGGAAGGAGCAATTAGATAAACTGTTTACGGGAGAATAGTGGTATTTTGGTTGAACTTTTTTTTGTCGCTAGATACATCTTAACACCCTTAGGCTAAGATTTCGGCTTCTAGTACATTGTCAATCGATCAATGTACATTTGTATGCTTCAAGAACAGAGCCTCCCTTGATGCATGTTTTTTTTGCCACAAGCAAATGCCCAATCAACGGAGACAAATTGCCGACCGAACAACACGTAATGTAGTTGGATTCCTAGTGGTATACAGACAGTCTGGACAAAGAGGGTCCGAAACCGCTCTAGCGAGACTGGCTCTACTCCTTTCTGCTCATATCCTTGCGGGGCCATTCGCTGATGATAGTAACACGGTCATTCAACGAATGTTCACATCTAAACACTCCATTAACACAAGTTCCGCTGCGGATTCATTACACTTCGTAACACTCGCCACAGAGTCTCAACACTTAGCAACATTCCCCACAGGAGTTCTTACCCGTATAAACCGCTGGTTCTCTCCAACCTGTTTCCTCTTATAATTGGCAACCTTTGAACTTCGACCTGCAACGATTCAACATTTTCAGCCACAGGTACAACACCTGCTTCCAACACATCCACTCAGCCCTGGTGTTTGACACTCCCCAAACACATCTGCTACTACATCTTCCTTCATTTGCTCCCTCCCATCACCAACTCATAGGTAACGCTCAGTACTTAGGATTCCTCGAGCGCCTAACCCGTAACCAACCTTCACTACCAGATTCCTTCCTCGATCGTCAATATGCCAGGCCAACGTGTCGATCAGATGGTCAGCGACATGACTGATGAAGAGTACCGCGCGGCTGAAGAAAACTACGAAAACTACCACCCCCAGGCTGACTTGATGAGTTTCGAAGAGCGTATGGAGCACCACAAATACGAAGAAGAGCTGTATGAAGACCAGGCACAAGGGCGTGATAGTGATGTTCGTGCTCGTAGAGCTGATTACGCTTCCAATCCGCCTGGGCGTTCCAACTATGGTGGGTCTCGGATGTCTCGTTCACGTGGGGAGCGTCTGCCATGCGTTATCCATGCGAAAACTCACCGCAACACAGTCGCCACACAGGCGAGCACAATGGTGGCATTTGGCAATCATATTGCCATCTCCGTCAAACACAGCGTTGCAGGAGCGGGGAGCGTGCTGGTAGGCGCGCCGGGCACGACGGCAACAAATGTTCTCATTCAAGGCCGGCAAGGGCCCAGCGCTTCGGACAGCGAGCGTGACGAATTGGGGCTGCCAACGCGGAAGAAACGTGCACGTAACGGCAGAGTTTTTGGAAAACTTACGACAGCAGCCATGATAGCAAGGGAGATGTGCGCGAGATGCGTGCGTTAATGCTACCTTTTGTATGCGTTGGTGGTTGATAACAAGTTTCAAAACGTTTCTTGAAATTCACGTAAGATGCTAAGAGTGGTGAAAGGAGTGTTGACAAAACAGAAAACTTTTCAGGGGAAAAGTAAACATCATCATAGTCGCACGTCAACCACACGCGTCACGCATCCAAATCAGAACTATGCGAGCGGTCCCTCCTACCATCATGGCGATCGTCGTGGCACCGGTAGAGGAGGGTATGAATATGAGGCTTCCTCTGAAGGCGAGTCACTGGTCGGAGATTCTCACGGCCTAAGGCATGAACATACGGGATATTCGACTATGGGCCTTGCGGAGTCTAGAAGACGTGATTTGGCTGGCAATCTCCTGCTTAATCTCTTTAAGCTCTTTTAGTATGTGTTGTGGAATAGTCTTGCCCTCCTGTAGCAGCTTGTTGATCGCTTTGGTAATTCGGCCTTTTTTTCGGCAAGAGCCTGCCTGCTAAGCTCGGAGATCATCGTGAGGTTCGAGTGATGTAAGTCGGAAGGGGAAATGTGTGTTCAATCGTGTAGTGGGTGGTTCGTGAGGGGCTACACTGGGTGTCGCATGAGTGTAATATGAGTGTTTAGTGATGTTAAGTCATTGTAGGGCGTCCAGGAGTTTGATGGCCTGGTTGCTGGGCATCTTGCTGGACTTTTAACCCATGCGCCTTGTCGACCAAACCCCGACCGAAGATGCTGGGAAACCTTTCCCAGTACTGGTTGAGCTCGTCCTCCGTGAGTTGCTTTTCGTTGCCGTTTCCCGTCTCATATTCATCGTCACTGTCAGCCTCGGCCTGACGCTACATCTCGTGGGCTCGCTGGTCGATGTCTCTTGGTGCCGTGACCCAAACCAGTACCGGACGCTCATACACGGAAACTAATCCGCGATTTCAGCCTTCCAAACAGGTCTGGCGTTGATGGGAAAGACCATGAAATTTGGCTCGTAGGTACGGCCGCGGAGTTTGTCCAGTGCTCTGGGTGCAACGGAGTTAGGAGCCGACTCCTCAGGGTTAGCGTCAACGTCCATCGCGTTGGAGTCATTGATCAGGAAAGGTTCGGCAACGGCAGTAGCGCCAGCCGCATAAGGGTCGTCCATATTTTAATCGGCTTTCCCAGCAGGCGGCCTGGGTATGAACCAACAGTACGGCGCAGGATTCTGAGGATCTTCTTAAAGCTCCCACATTGCTACTTCTGTGCTCCCTTGACTGTGGCAACGTAGTCCACACCCGAGCCTCATTTCCCTTCGTCTCTTTCTTATCTTTATATATATGAGAGGCATCAGACAGCAGAATCGAGAAGGTGATCGAGGATACCCATATCCCTCGTATCCTTCCAGCAAGTGTGGAGGCCATGAAGGCATTGATCAATCCACCAGTCATGCCAACGGATGCGGCACGGACAGTCTTCACTCTCATCTTGTGGTCGCAGCACGGTCGGCTGTAGGCCTTGAGCCTGCGATTGGAGAGCCAGGACTTCGCTTTCAGAAGCTCCTAGGTGGAAGAGGCGGTGCCCTAGCTGCTCGCACAGCCAGTCCTTTTTTGGGCATTTGTGGTCTCTAATGAAGCGTAGTAGACACAAGGCCCTGCGAAGGGTCAGTCTCAGAGGATGAATTGCCTAATAGGCCACTCACCGGCTGCTTCTAGCTGCCGCTAGATACATCGTATCGGTTTGCGAACGCTTGTGCCAGTGCCTCCCGCAACCAAGCGGCCAGCTTCCCCTCCGGGAGTTGCTCGAGCATGACGCTTGCTCAAAAGGGCGATCTGTGGTCATGAGAGGCAGAAGGGCCGTGTGGAAGGTGAGCTACGAACGCAGTGAGAGATCGCTGTGGTGATCGCACTAGTTTGGTGCGGCAGATTGAAGCTTTGGTACGTGGGCATTGCCGTGGAGGACATCAGCGTTGGTGTGGTGGTGATGAGTCTGAGTTCGAGGAAAGGGTAGGTCCTCCAGTCAGTTAGTAAAAAGAAACAAGGTACGTTGTCGTCGTGTGACCACCACGTGGCGCACTCGGTTGATCTCATTCGATCATCTGTTGAGGCAGCGGGAGTAGATCCGCCAGAAGCAGCAATGCATGACGCATGCCCTATCTCTAGCAGACATAGCCAGCCAGACTCCGCAGACGCAAATCCCGTTGTCACTGTATCTGCCCCCCAGCCGACTTTCTCCAGCTGCGATTGATCAATTAGTTAGTCATCAGCAGAATCATTAGGTAGTGGAAAAGACTTACCCGTTCCTTGGCGAAATATGCGGTATCAAGTTCCGTCCGTCTGACATGAGTCTTGCGGACGAAGTTTGGATGAGCAGTCATCTCCGCCCATGCTCCGATTAAGATTTCGAGCTGAATAAGTTGCCTGGCAGCATCGATGCCCGAAATCTATGAAGAGTCAGAAGTCGCGACGCAAAAAAAGTGAAGAAAGATGAGCACGACTTACCTCGTCGAAGGCTTTGGGTTGCGACATCGTGAGATCGTTGTACTTGAAGTGCAGTGTCAACGTGGCAATGATTTCTTGTTGAAGTGGTTCATGCCTGGGTCCCATAACCGTAGGTCGTACGCTGTACTTGAGATCATTGTCATGAATCCGCTAAACCTACCCAAACCTAGCTTTGAAGATAGATAATCCACATGCTCCTGATCATAGGTCATCACCATAATGAAGGCCTGATAGCCCTCCGTCGACGATTGGTTCAGATGAAAAACGCCAGGAGATAAGTGCGTGTGAGGATGGGAAAGAAGTCAGGTGATGAGTTCGTTGTGAAGAGGGGCCCGATTAGGGCGCCAAGGATGCCGGAGGCGGGTACGGGGACGATGAAGGTGTTCGTGTAGGAGAGAAGCCAGAGAGTTTGGGCGAAGGAGATGATAGATTTGAGTGCACCGGCTGGTGATTTTCTGTAGACGATTTGAGAGAGGCTAATCTTGCTTGTTTTGGCGTAAGAATTTGACGGCGATCTGGTGGATTAAGGCTATTTCTCATAAAAAGAAAGGAAATTTTTCCAAGAATCGCTTGACGAAGAAAGAAGAGAATTTTGGCTCGAAATGCCGTCTTCTTTTTGGATGACTTGCCTTGCATTTGCACTGTGACTCAAACTTTCTCAAGTCTCTGCTTTTCAAACTCTTCCTCTATACATGACTTTTGATATACTCTCTTACTTTCGAGTCATCTGCCAAACTGTAACGCCCTTGAGATCTGGAATTAATACCTTAGTATGTACATATATAGTAAAGGACATAAAGGTATTTAAGAAGAATTAGCCCTAGCCCAACAAACGAACCGACGCGCGGCTTTTGACCTACTTCCACCACACAAAATGATTTAACATAGGAACAGGCAATAGGCGGAGAGCTAAGCAATAGGAAGGATATTAAGTGGGAGGATTGACCGTAATAATGCCAAAAAAAAGAAGGCCATGTCCTTAGGCAAGAAGACGAAATACTGAAAGAAAGAGACAACGGCTAATTAGGGGTAACCCACAATATCTCCCGTCGCAGGAAATTTTCGAATAAAAATAGCTGAGACATCGGACGGTTTCAACACCAAATATGCATCGTTCGATGTTCCTTCGTAGAGGCCAATTGGCTGTGATCGTCGTAGTAGATCCTCCTCTTATTCCTTAATGCAGTGGGGATGACAGGCTAAGTTGCAGTGGTGTTCTCCGCTTACTGAGTGATGATTTGATGTGGAACCGTGGAGAGCATATGACGTGGGATCTTGATAGCTGAGCCGTGTTCTTGACGATGGTGGCCTTGTTACCGCTTGGTTTCTCCGCAGTGTTCTCCGTAGTGTTCTCCGTTTCTCCCATTTGCCTGTTATAGTTCCTCCTCTTGCGATATTCCTCCTATAGAGGCTTAACTACTATGATCGTCGTAGTAGATCCTCCTCTTATGACGTTATTGCAGTGATGTATCATATCAATATAGTGGGATGACAGGCCAAGTTGTAGTGGTGTTCTCCGCTTGCTGAGTGATGATTTGATGTGGAACTGTGGAGAGCATATGACGTGGATCTTGGAGAGCTGAGCCGTGTTCTTGACGATGGTGGCCTTATTGCCGCTTGGTTTCTCCGCAGTGTTCTCCATAGTGTTCTCCGTAGTGTTCTCCGCATTTGCCTGTTGTAGTTCCTCCTCTTACTCCTCCTCTTTATAGAGTATCAGACTGAGTGGCTAGCTGAGTGGCTGACTGAGTGGATTGCTGAGCTGATAGGGTAGGTAGTGTTGATTGAGCGGCTGCTCGAGTATCGCTGGCTTGGGAGGAGAGAAGATGCTGTGAATTCGTTCGGGCCTATTGAGAGGCTTCAAAATAGGGTGATGAAGAACGGGTAGGGGAGGAAGACGCGTCTTGGGAGGTAGCATCGCTGGGTTGGAAGGCATTATCGCTGGCTTGGGAGGAGTATGTAGGGGAGGACGTATCCGTTCGGGCTCTTTTTGAGGGCCTTCCAACGCGTTTATGAGCAGTAGTAGGTAGCTGTTAGGCTCGCTTGCGGCCTCGATTGCCAGCAGTAGCGGATTCGCCGAGGGGTGGCCTGGGGGCGTCAGTAGGGGCCTAAGAGGCGGCAAAAGGGGTGTACGTGCACAACCGGACGCGTTTGGTGTGACTACAATATTTGAATATCAGTTTAACCCACCTACCGCTTGGGAGGAGTATATAGGGGAGGACGCATCCGTTCGGGCTCTTTTAAGGGTCTTCCAACGCGTTTATGAGTAGTAGTAGGTCTTACGGCCTCGATTGCCAGCAGTAGCGGATTTATCGAGGGGTGATTTAGGGGCGTTAGTAAGGGGTTCAAAAGATGGGTAGAAGGGATATATACCTGAAGCGTTTAGTAACGTTTCCGCGAGGGGTATCGAGGATAATTATATTTATATTGGTAAATTGGTAGAATGGTGGAAGAAGAATGGTTACACAAACAGGTGGAAGGATTATTATCCGATCCCGGACGCGTCTGGTGTGACTACCATGACTACCATATTTGAATATCTATTTAATCCACCGATAGTAAGTCAAACTTCATAATTTTTATATCGTTAGAAAGCGCAAACTAAGCTCTATAATTTACGAAATTATAAAGTAACAGCATCCGTAAAGAGCTAATTATTTCAAAGTGTAAAACTTCTACACACAAATTTTTAATAAGAGAGCTCGAGAGGGCTAGCGGGCTGACTCAGCCGATCTAACCAAAGAGCGTAGTGACTCTGAATTTATAATTAACTGCACATACAAATTCAAGGTTTTCTAGTTCAGCCCTACCTTATTCTTTTATATATACTGATATAGTAAAGGAGATCTACTATCACTTTTGTGTGTCAAAGAGACCGCAATCAGCTGCATCTGATCTGCATGGATGGCCAAAGGCAGCTGGTATCAAATGCAGAGAGAAAGAACCGATGTTGTTCAGAGAGGTATACGAGATAGATTGAAATGTGTAAAGCGAAAGCGTGCTGAGTACAGGTAGGTAGGATAATATGATTTTGATGGAATTATGTGGTGGACCTGCGATAGGATTATGTTGTAGAAAGAAGAGATAGTTGGGAGGTTTGGGGGGTCAAATATCCAAAGATGCCTCCCGAAGAATCCTCGTCGGAGAAGTGATGGGCCTTGGGGCACTCATTCCATCCAAATTCGCCGATTTGCTTCCCGTTCGATAGAAATGAATGTCCAGCTTCACGCGGTCTCCATTACTTTTAGAGGAGCCCCGATTGAGAAACAATCACCAGGACTTGCTTTCGGTTTCATTCCACTCTCTCCGTTCTAACCCCAATGAGGCCTAAGAATCACAGTTTCGACTTCCTCGTGATAGTCGACTTACGGCTCCAGCGGCATTCATCGGCACTCAGTCACGCTTCACCTTCATTCACCAGTTCCAATATCCTCTTTTCGTCCTCTTGAGCCCTCCACCGTCTGTACTCCCTGCCATTTTATCCAACGCCTCATCATCAACGCGCATCCCTACCCATTCATCCATCTGCTGAGCCCCAATACTCTTATAAAATTTTATACTTGGCTCATTCCACTTCAACACACTCCACTCCAACCTTTCCCCTCCAATATTTTTCGTTTCTTTCGCCAGCTCCTGCAACAGCCTCTTCCCGTAGCCCCTCCCTCTATATTCAGGCCTCACGAACAGATCTTCTAGATAGATGCCAGGAGCGCCACGCCAGGTGGAATAGTTGGTAAAGTAGAGGGCCATGCCCGCGCATTGTGGGGAGGGGAGATGGGAAGCCGTTGAGGGAGGGTCGGGGGCGAAGAGAACCAGGGTTTTGGCGTAGCCCGAGGAAGGGTTTGAGGGGAAGGAGAGGGTTTTGAGGAGAGAGGCCTCGGTAGCGAGGACGGATGAGGATGCTTTCTCGTAGGCGGCGAGTTCGTGGATTAACGAGAGGATCAAAGGCACATCTAGAGAGGGATTAGATGGATGTTGCAGGCAGGGAGCAAGGACAGCTTACCTTCTTCGGTTGCGAAGCGTATGGCTGGCTCGGAGTTGCCAGTCGAGACGGACATGATGCTAAATACTCGAAACCTATTTCAGATAATGGTATAGAGTGAGCTGGAAGGATCGTTTGTATATTGAAAACGACGTCGCAAATGACAGCGATGTCGGTCTAGTGGGTCCATGCCCGCTTGGGCTAGTACTCCTTCTGCATCCTCAGTCTGCGTCCCCGCGGCATCTTGCGGCGTACAACCATCCATAGAGAAAGCCTCGTCGCAAAGGACGAGCCATATAGCAACGATGGTGCTGAAGCGAGGGAAGAGATGGGATGATACTAGCAGAAAGCAGAGTCCGAGCGGAATGCTTGGCATAGTTTAAGCAAGGACAAAAGAAGTCGGAAACGCCAAGAAAACGCATAGCTGTGCCCGGGGATGTGGATCTGATCATACGACACAGTGATTCGTCAGGCTCTGATCCTTCAGCTCCGCCTGCATTTGACTAGTCATACTGTATTCAAAATGATTCCCTGCAGCTAAGAATCGAAGAGTCTGGTAAGCAATGGTACAGTATTTATGAATTGCAAATTAAATAAGAAGGGTATGGTGGAGCCCCCACTTTTTATTCAGAGATATTCAGGGCTAGAAAATTGTAGAGAACTATCACTAGTGGCCACTATCTTCTACTGAGCTAAGAATAGATATACGCCAAGCTTTGTATCTATTATGCCTATCTTTGATTAGCCTTAGCATCTTTACGGTTAGCTACCAAACTCTTACTCGAATTTCATTAGCGACCTGAAGCCGTAGCTACGGATGCCTATTTTAGTGTAGGTCAGACGGCCTGTCACCGTATGACCGTCACATGACTCGTTATAAGGGTCAAATGTCAGTCATAAATACGCACCTTCTTCTAGCTGTTAATAGCCCGCGGCTAGTATTAAAACGAATTAGCAGTGATTCAGACCGCCCATTTCTAGTAGGCTTGCATAATGCATACAAAAAAAATTAAAAAAAATTATTAAATTTTTGTTTTTTTTTTTAAAAAAAAAAAATTTTGAATAAAATTTTAAGGATTAAATTAAGAAATTTAAAGGAGATTTACCTCGAAATCTAAATTACTACTTAAAAAAAAAAAAAAAAACTCACCTCAATATGTTCTAACAAAATGTCCCTGCAGCTAAAAAGAATCGAAGAGTCTGGATAAGCAATGGTACAGAAATGTAATTAGGTGGGGGAACCGCACAGCCTCGGAGCTGAAAAAGACAGCGGCGGCTCCTTCGCCTTGGCGTGTTTCACTGCCTACCTTCGAGTAGAAGCCTCAAGGATGTCAACGGATCGTCGAAAACCAAGGAAAACAGATAAATAAATGCATGCTGCACTTTGACATTCTTTTGAAGAACATGTTCCTGCCCCCACTCCATCTCCTCATTGTCTAGCGCGACTTCCATCTGTTGGATAGTCTATAATCGTTATCATCCGCGTCTAAAGCAATACTCTGCATCAAAAAATCAGCTATAGAAATGCGACGCTCCTTGAAAATATTGTTCTTGCTCCTTGTTGGTACCCTCCTTGTCAAACAGGTCCGAGCTCCTGCTCCCCATCCAGAAACCACAGATTCAGATTCGGATTCAGAGCCACAACCGGTCCCAAACACAAACCATGATGACAACTCAGGCTCAAGCTCCGGTGAAGGCGAAGACTTGGGTCACGTTGGCGGTATAACGTTGAGCGGTGGAACTCCAGCCGCACCCGTTGCCCCTCCTGCTGAGGGCAATGAGGCGGAATTCGAAGAAGAAGACGTCGACTACAGCGAGATCCTGAAGCACGTGTCCGAGCTCCTCGACGCCATCACTGCCATCATCTCCGACTTAGACAGCGGCTCCTCAACAACGGTATCAGCACCTCTACCCACTGCAGCATTACCCTGCTACAGCGTCTCAAGTATCTATAATGAGTGCGCCCTACGCAAAAGTGAATTCCCGCATGTGGTTTTCCCCATACAGGCGAGTTGCTTGTGCTATGTAACTAAGGGCAACGATACCACAGCCATCTGGGCGCCTGACTCCTACGACGGGCATATGAGCCGCTGTAACAATTTCGCTCAGACACAGAGTCAGGCTTCAATTACGAATGTGGGTAATAACAGCAGCGCTTTCAATTTGTGTTCGAGCGCTGGTGATGTCAGAGCAACCCCGGCACTAGCCGTGCCGAGTTCGACGACTACGCCTTCGGCTACCCCGGCCTCGACTACCACTGCACCCAGTACACCTACTGCCACAGGCACAAGTGGTTCAGCAAAGCGAGTGTCTGTGTTGAGGTCCCTGGTTGTGTGCATGGGACTGTGGCTCTGTAGAATGGTGATATGATGATTAGACGAAATCTCGTTTCTTCTAGAAGGGGAATCTTATGAGATGGTCGTAGAGCACAAATATCCATAGCAAGGCGGATGGGAAATTTTGAAAAGCTGTCGAGACTCGTCTCAAGCCAACTGACTAAGCTCGCGTGTCTAATCATCACGCTATTCTTAACCCAGCAACACTTTGTCAAATCATACCTCTCCGTTGACCAGCGCTTATCCCACGCTACCAATCCATCCTTGAATACACTCACAGGATAACGCAACACACAAAAGTTGAGAAGCTCGAAAATTGCAATCTAAATCACACTAAAACGAAGGATTGCAAGACACTGAATGCCTCGATGGGGAGCCCGGCAGTCATAAACAAGCAGAGAGCGTGGTACGTCCGCTTTCCCGTGTAAGAGTCTGGTCGAGGCTACTTTGTTCTTCCACCCTTCTCAAGGTCTACTCGAGCATCTCAACATGCGGCTTCGGTAGAAGAAAAAGAATCGGACCCAGCCGTTCAAACGCCGCGTGTCTACCTCGTTGAGTTTGAAGACCACAGATGCGCGATTACAGACGTGTTACAAACATCCGAGTCACACTTCAGCGTCTTCAACACGACGCTCACCCTAGACCTGCCCGATAGGGCATGAGATCGGGGGCTCGGGGCACATTTGTTGCGTCTTAGCGTGTTCGCCTCGAGATCACCCTTCTGTTCCAGCGTCCATATGGTATTCTCACCTTCATGGATTTTCTTGTTCAACGAAATATACATTGAAAGGCTAGTACATTCTCTTAGCAGAACATCAAAATATTGCTCTCTTTGTACTGCAACAACGTTTGACTGACCATGACTGCTGAGACTTAGCGGAAGCCTTCGCATCTGTTTAACAAAAGGAATTGCGATATTGGAAGTTTTTTTGTAGGTCGCGTTATGCTTGAATCATGCTCTTTCCAAAGCAACGAGGTTTTCATTTCGGTCGACAGCTCCTCAAAAGTATTTCCTAGCTGCCGAGATATGGGACATGCTCCAGATATTTTCGGACTGGCAGGTCAGTCCGAAACAAACCCAAATGAGATACCTATAAAGCCTCTCCTCTCGGACTTGCGACAAAGTCGAGAATCAGCTATTGCGATTTTGATTGACACAGTCTGTGTGTGCGGTGCCGTGTCTTCTTTTACCCAGAACAAATCCCGTCTGATCTCCATCCTCAAAGTAGGTGTCATTTGCTCATACGAAAACTTGCCCTCGAGGGTTCATTAAGACAGCAGAATGTTGGTAGGACGACGAAGCTGAGCGGCAAGAAGCCGTTGAACCCGTTCCTTGGGGAGTTGTTCCCCGGGAAATGGGAGGACCATGATGGTCTGGGGGAGGCGGAATCGATTTGCGAGCACGTGAGCCCCCACCCGCCGACGTCAGAGTTCTGTATCCGTAACGAGAAGCACGGGGTCCAGCTGCAGGATTACAGCGCTCAACGACTGCCTTTCGCCGGCACTCTCTCCACTGCTCAATACGGCCACGCGAGTCTACATATTTTCAATTACAATGAAGACTACGTTACTACCTTTCTCTCCATCCGTATCAAGGGCATTTTCTCTACTAGTCCGTACTCCGAACTCGAGGGTGAGACATTCATTCATCTACGGCTGGAAGGTTTATGTAAGCCATGTGAAGCACGAAGGAAAAAAAGTGGCTGAGAGGTCACAGAGACAGCTGCATCGCCACAGTCTCGAGTCAGGAGTAGGTGGCAAGGCTGTTTTCAAAGCAAAGGGCTACGGGAACGGGGAGCTTGAGTTTCGAGCTCTGCGCAGCAGCCGTCGTGCCGGAACGCCAAGCATCAACACCCATGCCATCACCCCTCTCACCGTCCTCCTCTGTCGAAGCAAGATCCCTAGGAGTCCCGCCAAGCCTGGTCCGTCATCGTTGATGTTATCAGGGCCTACGAAATGCTAGCCGCAGGTGGTGAGAAGGCGAAGATTGGGAACGGGCAGAGGGGGATGGAAGTGGCGGAGAAGGCTGAAGGGAGGAGGTGGGAACCTCGGTTCATCGGGAGATTGGAACGGGATGGAGTACTGGAGAGGTTGGGGATTAAGGACGGGTTGGGAGAGGAGAAGGGAGGCGGGGATTGGAGGTGGGATGGAGAGAAGGCGAGGATGGTGTTGAGGCTGTTTCATGATGATTTGTAGCCGAGTGGTTGAAGGATGAGATCTTCTGCTCGTCGGTGAAACCTTGGGCTAAGAACTTGTAACACTGTGGGAAGAAGTACATTGAACTGGGAGCTTGACGGGAGGTGTTTGCCCTGTTGGGATCCTTTCACTGTCAGGAACCAAAAAAGAAGTCGACTCTCAAATATCGACGCCACGCATATTCTAACAACCTACGCAGGATTCGCACCTACAACTTGGATTGAAACCTTAGTATCTGAGCTGCACTGGTATGTGAGTCACGGAATCGTACGTTTTGCATCGTAAACAAACGCGGTGCCATTGCGCGAGCAGGCCAGTTGTTCTTGCTTCTTGGACACTGTTTTCAACTATGCGTGAATGATCATAGACAGAGAATGATTCGCTGGGGTGGATGCTTTCAAAGGTGAATGATCGGTGATGTGTTTACCTCGTCTTACGTCAGATGCTCGATTCACAAGGAGGGGCGTAGGTGAAGCCAAAGCAAAGAATCAAAATAAAATCGTGAGGTCCATCTTTTGCAACCCTGAGTGAAAGCTCGAGGACTAAAAAGTGAACCATGTCTGACTCGAACAGACAACCTTCACAATGGGATCTCAGTATTTTGCGAAGTGAATTTGGAAAGGGTTTTAGGCTCTACCTTTCGGACTGGAATCGAACACGCTACCATTGCGCCAATGGTCCATTTTTCTGTGCAGTATAAGCCTTGTTCGCATACTTAGCTGGTATGACTACGCTGAAAAAGATTACAGGGAAGGATCCTGGTCTATAGGTAGCAGAAGCAAATGGTGAGATGGGACGGAGGATATTTTGAGCTGGGACTCTGACGGCTGTCAACACCCAAATGCAGTCTTTGGACTTGTGAATCGTACTCTACCTTTCGTTGGTATTGCACGAGGATGCTTACTGCGACCGTACCAAATATTCAGTACTATTTCTTTTTTTTAAAAAAAGGCTTGAGCCATTGAAAGATTCCTTCATCTTCATCCTCATGATGCCTTGAGCTGCCGTTTCAGCATTCCACAAAAGCTCTCGAAAAGCACGCTGTCTCTGCCCTGCAACCATCGGACCATGACTCCAACTCCACCCTGATTCTCCTTCCTTAGCTGAATCTTGAAGCCGAGGGCTGGTTCGCCGTTTTCATCATCCTGATCCATGGCCTGGTCTTTTTCCACAGAGTCGGTAGGACTCTGTTGCTGCTTGCGCCTTGCTGCTCGGGACCAAACACTTCCTTTGGCAAAGCCAACCCCTGTGGCCATAATTGGGCGATACTGCCATCGTAGTTCAAGCGCTTGAAGCGTGGCGTTCAGACGATGTGAACAGCTCTCGATTGATGTCTCGACAGTAAACGAGGACTCTGAAGGAAAAGGGAGTAGATGCTTGGGAAGTGTAGAGGTACCTCTTGCAGCGTCCTTCGCGGGTTCCATCAGCTGATGAACGACTACAATTTCCGCGAGAAGGTCACACTTACGTGACTTGGCCGCATACTTCCCCAACTCCATGCTACAGCCCAGCGTCTCGTTTTATTCCCTTGCACCAGGTCTTTGACCGCCCAATTGTCGACACCCGCGCCTCTCAGATTCCCAACAACAATCTCAACGCTGCTGTATTTCCCTAGCATGCTAGTGTACCATTGGCAGCGGTCCTTGAGTACCTTACTCTCGTCGATCATCCGGCTCACGAATGCAACCTCGCCTCCAGGTGTGACCATCTCAACATCAGCACCTGTACAGGCTGAGCATGGTGGCCTGGACTTTGCGGCGGCTGACGACAGGAGATCGGAGGTAGAAGAGTAGAATGGCGGGTTGCAGATAGTAAAGTCAATGCTGCAATTGTGTAAGACGGGGCAACATGGAGCTGCCAGAATTCCTACCTTCTGAGGCCAAACGCGTCAAGAGGTACCAGTGGATCATTTGGCTGGGTTTGAAGAGGACGTATCCGGGATTTGAGATTGTTTTGGAGAATGTTGCGCTTGGCATAGGTCATGTTCTTCTCATCGATATCTGTAATCGAATTAGTGGAACTTCAAGCACCTCCTAAATAGGAATGGTAAAGTACCGGTGACAGCAAATCTCCACTTCGGCCTCTGAGAACAGCCAAGCAAAGGGTAAATGCAGCTTGCTCCAGTTCCTCTAGAAAGATACCCTCAGCCCCAGACTACGGAAACTCAAGACTGATGAGTCTCACATGTCAAGTCCAGTAACCGTCCGCTCGGCATCATAGCGGTCGCTGTATCTGTTGCTGGTAGTATCGAGCAGATCCTGGATCCATAGGATGTAATTAAACCTTTCATCAAGGTCAGGATAGTATCACCACCCTTTGGTCACGGCTCACAATTACCGATTAGGGACCTAAGTGTACAAGTTCGTTCTTGAAGAGTAGTATGGAAGAATAGAAGGTTGCACGTACTGGCGGGCATAGACGGTCATCAGGTAGGTCGAGCTTGATGCCAAAATCTCGCTCCAGCAGGCTTTTCGTGAGCTGTCTGAGTCATGTGAACAGCAGTCTGGTTGCTAACGCGCAAAGAAGTCTCACTGTACTGCGTCCGGGTTGCTGAAATCCAGCTGTCCGTTCGATTTCAAACTGAAGAGTTGTCATTTGTATGAAGCGCTGGAGATTCCGAAGAGTCTTCGTACTATTTATTGAAAGCAGGAGATTGAAGGGCCAAGACAGCGAAGTCGACATCCTCCTCGTATATGTTTCTCTTTGCCATCATTCTCAGAAAAGCATTTCAATACACGGTATCATAGTTTCGTAGAGCCGGAGATAGAGGCTCAGCCCCGGGCGCTTAAATTATACCCGCGCGCAAGAAAGGCTTGGCTTACTCCAGATTTGCACCGAGTCGTGGGTAAATTGCCGTTTAGCCATCGCAGCCATGGCCGCAGACCTTTCCCAAAACTTGAAAGACGTGCATGTACGCTCTTTACTTGATCAAGCTTATGATGAGCTTGGACTTGAAGCCCTCACACTACAGTCATGTGACGGGGATTGGCCCCAGTTCCTCGCTCAACGATTACAGCATCTCCTCGAAAAGCAGCCACAAGCTGCGAGTATAGACCACGAGTTCCTATCCCTTGCCACTGTTGCATTTAATTGTTTCCTCCAGGCAAATGTCACGGGACCCCCGTTGTCCTACGATCCGGCTGATGGGATCCTTCCAAGCTCTCTCTTCGAAGGGACTAACACCACCGTTGAACGACTGCAAAGGCGGCTGATCTCGGGCCTGAGCATTGATGGAGAAGCAGTTTACCGACTTATTCCCCACGTTGAGCTCTTTTGTCTAGCCAAATGTATTCTAAACCACCCATCAATGACGCAGGACTTACCGCTCAGACTGGCTCGCCTGAGGGCGAACTTCTGGCATCAACGGCTGCTTACCGATATCTCCTCGTCTTTACAAGATACAATTTACGATGACTTGCAGCTCATTGGCGACAGCGTGCTCAGTAGCCCCCCTTTCAATAGTATAATTACGCCCGCTCAGTTCTTCCTTGAACGGGCAACAATCCACAATTACCACGGTTTTGACCAAAGAGCGAGAGCAGATATTGAACAGGCGGCACGGGAAAGATCTTTCCATTTTGCATTGACTGGAAGGTTAGGAAAACGGACAAAGTACCAAGAGAAGGAGTTGAGCCAGCTGGTTGTGCTTGCCACAAGCGTAGATGAGGATGATGAGGCAGCTCGATCCGGGAAGAGTACGAACGCAGACACCATTGAAACGGGCCCAAGCTCCTATCGACGAACAGAAGCAATACCTCGAAAGCTGAATTTGAACGATGACACTCTGTTGGAGTCAATTGCATTCACCCAAGCGGCAGCCTCCGTCCCAGATTTCCAGCAAGATGACCACCTACATCCATCGTTAGAGACTTTGGATCCTGGAAACCAGCCACTCCTACAACCGCTTGACGCTATCATTCTCCTTGCTACAGCCTCCTCAATTACAAATACTTCACCAACAGACGGTTTGACTCGCGAGGAAACTTTGCCATACGCCGAGCGGGTAATTTCGGGAGGTAGCTCGAACTGGCAGGTGTACACTCAAGCCCTGATAGTCCGAAGCCGCATCGAAGGCTATCGATCACGCACCATAGAAAGAAGCGTGCTGCAGCTGCAAGCTGTCGTCGACCAAGTGGTTGCGGAAACTTCATCGTATAAGGCTTCCAAAGACGATGCAGCATCCGCAATGACAACGTCCACGACGTTCCTACCTCAACCAAAATCAACCGAATCGGCATCTGCCTCCGAACGTCTCCGATACATACATCAGCTCGCTTCTTCTCCACGATGGAAACTTGAGGCCGAACTTGCAGACCGCTGGGTCTCTCTTGGTGGGCTCCGCACAGCACTAGAGATCTATGAGCGCCTCCAAATGTGGGCTGAAGTTGCTCTGTGCTGGGCAGCGAATGACCGAGAAGACAAAGCTCGGAAGATCATACGGCGCCAGCTATACAACTCTGTCATCACCACATCAACGAACAAGCTCCTCGAAGACGATGAAGACAATGATGTTGGAGACTACAGGATGGAACGGGATCCTCTACCAGCAGATGCTCCACGTCTCTTCTGCATCCTTGGTGATCTTGAGAAATCCACAGCTGCGTACGAGCGTGCTTGGGAGATATCGAATCAGCGGTATGCTCGTGCGCAGCGCTCATTGGGTAAATTCTACTCAGCGAACAAGGAGCTTGACAAAGCGGGCACAGCTTACGCAAGATCACTGAAAGTCAATCCGCAAAATCATGCGATTTGGTTTGCCTTGGGATGCATTAGACTCCAACAGGAGGACTGGGCTGGCGCCGTGGACGCTTTCGGACGAGCCGTACAAATTGAGGATACCGATGCAGAGTCTTGGAGTAACCTTGCGGTGGCCCTGTTGAAACTCCCACCTCATATATTACCGGGCGACCCAGATACTTCTGATTCAAAGCTGAATAGAACTTACTCCAATGTTGAGCTTATGCCAGAAGGTGGCAGTAATGGCTCCAATGTACCGGCAACGGACCCCCAAAAACACGTAAGGGAGGCTTTTGTCGCGCTCAAGCGTGCGGCAGCTCTCAAGAGGGATTCCTTCCGAATATGGCAGAACCTACTTAGTGTCTCGATCAAACTATCACCACCTCCGTATACTGAGATCATGATTGCTCAAAATCGCCTCATTGAACTACTCGGAAATAATGAAGGTGAGAGATGTGTCGATGTTGAAATTGTCGAGGCACTGGTAGCGCACCTCGTCGCTGCCTATCCACGAGCTCCAACAGATACAGAGACGACGGAAGTTAACGGTAGGCAGCCCGAAGACGGCGGGACACTCCAGGTGTCAGCGCCTAAAAGGGTGGGATTTGAACGGATGGTGATCGACCTAGTTCAGAAAAGGATCACACCTCTTATTACTTCGTCTCGCCGTCTATGGCTAGTTACCGCCAAGCTATCCCTGTACCTGCAGCATCCATCCGCAACCTTATCCGCCTATGAGAAAGCATGGCGCGTCACCCTGAATCAACCTGGATGGGAAAGTGGTACTAGGGAGGCAAAGGATGCTTGGAGAGAGGTCGCAGACTCAACGACTGACCTATTGGATGGATACGAGAGCCTAGGGGAAAGAATTAGAGAAGCTGGGATGGGCGCAGGAGAGTTGGTTGCTAAAGATTGGAGATTCAAGTCGAGAAGCGCGGTCAGGTCCGTTCTGGCAAGAGCGAAGGAGGGGTGGGAAGGCGAAGACGGGTACGAGACCCTAGGGGAAAGATTGCAGGAGCTGAAGAGTGCATGAGGCCAGTCTGTTCTACATGACATACGGATATTAGACCTCCGGTTGATGGAGAGACTGTCACAGGCTGCAGAACTCGGGCTCACCGAAACCTGCAGCCGGACATGCATTGGAAGCAAAGCGCTCGACAATCTATGACGTGTCACAGAATGACCCATCGAAATTCTGCCTGACCACTCAAAGTCTGCCTGTGTATGTTTCTAAGGTGCTGCCACCTTAAGCAACCAAAATTGAAACGATGTGGATACTCTTGGCAAGGTATCTTGTGCGGATTCCTCTTCAGGTTGTCCCCGTCTTCTCCAGGACTTCGAACTACGCATTCCTTGAACGAAGCCGCTAATTCAAGGCCAAGCGACTAGTCTCCCATTTGAGGTTTGATGGATCCTGATAAAATCGCTCTATCGGCACACTCGCCTAGTCGTTGCCCTCCTGTCTGGGTTTCTTTGCTGGCGCTCTCTCTCTCCCTCTTACTCGACTTCCATCACGGGAAAGTACTCAGATGCGCTCAGCAGCAATGGCAAATCAGCGGCTACCACATCCCGTTGCAATCAGCTCCTGTGCTGCAGCTTCTCTATCGGCATCGACCGGTCCCAAATCTCCAGTCTCTACAGCAGCAGCCAGGCTCAGTAATTACATTTCCGGCTACTTATGCATGCGCAAAGCTCTCTGTCCACTTGCGGCCAGAATGTTGACAGGTGTATCTACATCTGCACTGGAGATAGTCCAGATGGTGAACGTGGAGACATGATGCATGCCCCTGAGCGCAAAGACTACTTTGAGCATGCCGTCGAGAAGGCGATTCGACAAGAGCGAGAAAGTTGTGGGGTACAGAAGTGAAGATACCTGCCTTGCATTGACCCAAATGAAGTAGTTCCTGCATACCCCGGAAGCAAGGGGTCTTGGCACTGTAATTGCTGTATCAACATTGAATCTAGTTCATCGATCCGGTCTGATGTCAGCATTTCGAGAAATCTATTTCTACTCCTTTCTTTATTCGCTACTCCTACTTTCTATCCTCTCAATTTCCATCACGACAGAGACGAGCATGATTAAACCCTGTGGCCTGAAACTCCAGCACCGAGAGAACTTCGGAGCCAAGAATGGGAGACCGATGTGCAAAGACGCAACAGGGCGGGATGTCGTCTCGGACAGGAGGGAAGGAAGCAAACAATCATCACTACAGTCGAGCCTCGAAGAAGAAAAAGTCAGCTCCAACTCCAACACCGCGGAGCGTGTCGCGCGGTTCACGCCAATCAACACATGGCTACCTTCAACTCAACCATTAGGTCTCTACTAGTGGCCAGTTTTCCTCCTTCTCGTCCTTGTCTTCTGGCGCTCTCTCTCCTATTCGGTCTCGATTCGGACAGCTTCGTCATCGAACCGATTCGACAACGCCAACACTGTACCTCATTCCAATTTCGCTGCATCTCATTGCTTTGCTTCAGCGCATCGTTGTGCATCCGCAAACCCGAAGGTCTCTTGCCTACTTTCAACCCTCAACCAACGACTTTGATTTCTCCCGTCCTGAGGACATGCAAGAAGGATAATAAGAATTGGTACTGGAAAATGAGGTTGAATGGACGGCGTTGCAAGGTTATGTGCTCGGATTCATTCATACGAGCTTCAACGGATCTCACTCTCGAAGGCGGCGGGGTGGCGGGATGGTGTCTTCAAAGATGCATTTTGGATAATTCTAATTGCGAGGGCAATTTGTATCTTTTTGACAGCCCTTTCGAAATCAACTGTTTCTTCCAGCATAGTATCGAACGGCCGGCGTTCGAAGCGGGTGAAAGGGTTCTAGCCGCGAAAGTTTCGAATGATTGAAGTTGATAGCGTCCTCCTACCTTAGTCTGCTCCCTTTTTGCCAATCAGTTATCTCGAGGGTCTTTTTTGGATCCGTGCAATCTGTTATGACTGTGCCTGTTAAGGGAAGACTCCACAATGTTTCTCGCCTCGCGAGGCTGATACCCGTTGGCCCTTGCATCGGTGTGACGGAGCGGCTACTGCAACATTCACATCGCTTCTCCATGTCACAAAAGATTTCGAATAAGCCTTGAGGTTAATGAAGTTCTAGAACATTTCTACACTCTTCTACAACGACCAGGAAATATCGCGCTCCAGTCGAGGAAGGATCTCCAACAACATGACGCTGGGAAGAGCGTCGGCGCATCACGAGACAATGGCACTACAGACGGCAGCTTGAAAGATACCAAAGCTCTTGAGCCCAGCTAGCTCTTGATACACGTTTCTCGCCCACGCCTTCTGGGCCGTCTTTGCTTGCCTCCTAGTTATGTCTGCCATCAATCAATTCAAGGTGGCACCGATCGCAGAATCAAAATCCCTTGTAGGCTTTGTCAAGGAGAACCAGGGTGCTGCAACTCTCCCAACATGCCTTTCTCGGGACATCAACAGCACCTCATTTGTGTGGGGCTCTCACGCCACTACGGCAGCTCCGAAAGTGTTGTTGAAGTCTTGTACACTTTCGCCACAAAACATGTCGCTCATTAGCAAAGTCTTCAGCGCATGCTCATGCCTCCTTAGCACGTCAACAGAGGATGATGAACCTTCGACAGTGACCATCTGAATGCACAAATCCGAGAAATTTTGCTCAGGTGTCAGTCTTCATAGACGACGACAGTTTGGACGATGAGGGTTTCTGCAACGACTTTTCCCAGCAAAAATTCCAAAACTCGACAAGAACCGTGACACAATGCTACGATGACGCGCGCCTATGTGCCGCACGCAGCTCCGCGAGATCGAGCTCAAGCAGCATCACTGCAATCCCTGCGCAATTCGAAAGTTCGATATTTGTGTTCCCAGACCGAACCTCCCTTCATTCAACGCATATGTATGTTCTCCTCAACGGGTTGGTATGGGGCTTCACTTCCTACATACTTCATAGCCCATTTTACTTAGATATTTACCAGATGCACCGTGCTTCAGACATGTTGCTCACACGCCCTATGACAAAGCATTTTTCTGCGAGCTCCCCCGGGTGGATGATGATAGTCGACAAGCTAAGCTGGTAAGCTTAACCGACGCGGACACATACCACTGCTACAGAGGGTCTTGTTTTTCAAGTGTTTATCAGACAAAAGGTGCTTTATTTTGATAGCTATTTAGCCCAAAAAGCCACAAGGGCGTTGGCTTAGCTTGCTACACCACAAATCAATCAAGCTCCTAGAAATATATTTCCATAGTTCCCGGCTCATAAATCGTGTCATTCGCACACTTTTTGCCCTCCTCTAATTTCTATATCTTCGAGCTTAAATATGCGAATTGTATCTCAAACGTATAGTGCTAGAGCAGAAAGGGTCTTCGTGAAGGAGGTTCTTGGCCCGAGTTCCCCAGATCATACGGTCCCGGTGTCATCTGACGTACGGGGGCTATTGCATGAGTCAGTCCCATTCGATGGCGGCCTCATACTAGCCTACATGACCCTGCTGCCCTTCAGCCGCCGCTCTTCATTGGACTGGTTCCCTGATTCGTCGACACCAATGACTGGGCAGACAATAGGTCCCTTCATGACATGTCCCAACACCGTCCCTCGTCACAACACAAACCGCTCTACATAAACCTCGAAGTCGTAAGTAACAATCTTTAGTGTCACAGTTTCAGCCCTCCTACAACACACACTACCTAATTAGGCCAAGCGCGGCTTGACAGTACCTACATATACAGACTTCACAATGAAATGGACCTCTCAATAACTATCATTCTATTCCCACTGCAATACCAGCTATGAGCATTTATTCAGTCCGCGACATTAAGGGTGAAGAAGCATTGATCTCGACATCGACTCGGGTCAGCGACCTCACCAACAGCAGGCTTTCCGGACACTTAAACGTGCGGGAAGTTAGCAGCAAGGCAACTTTCCCCTTTCTCGACTTACCAGCGGAGTTGCGAAACAAAATCTATGGCTACTTGCTGTCGACCAAGTACACCAAAGTCGAGCTGACGTACCACCTGCAAGGCCCACGAGTGAGTCTCTCTTTCAATGGAGAACACCAATCTTTAATCTTTATTCCTTCTGTCAGCCTCAGTATGCTAATGCTCTCCGAAACAATAGGACGGCTTTCCATCATATCAGCCTTCTCATTACTACCGCTTTCAAACAGGAATCCTAGGCAAAAATCGACAAGCATACTTTGAGGCTGCCGATATATTCTATCGCAAAAACCTGTTTGTATCTCTCACGCACTCACGCTTTGGGTTTGACTCGAAAATGGCAGGGGTCGTCGTTGTGGCCACTGACCACCATGCGAGCAACTTCAAGCATCTCTCCATGAGAGTGCACATCAGCCCTCACTGGTATAGTGACGAGCGATCGCATACCCCTTTTGATCAGTTTATCATAGCTGTAGACGATCTACCTTCCTTTTGCAACATTCTACCGGGATTGAATATCCATGGTCTTAGACACTGGAAGAGGGGGATATGGATTTCAACTAATGTCTGTGTCCAAATTAATGTTCAACGCTTTGCGGATGTTGAGCGCAGTCACACAAAGCCTGAAACGGATCCTTCCTCGGTGAAGAAACTACTGGAGCCTTTTCGCCGTCTCTATGGTATGAGAGTCAGAGTAGGAGGCCATGTGACGCCATCATATAAGGAGAGCATCGAACAATGTGCCGCGCGACAGCCACCCACAGCTGCGGATCTGGTACGCATGATCTCCAAGCGCAGAGAGGAGGGCACCCAGTCTATGCAGAGTAGCAACATTGCCACAGCGGTGACAACATTCGAGTCGGCTTTGGATTTGTTGAGGTCAGGCCACATGCGCCATACAATCCATCCAGTGACGGTAGCGACACCAGAAACTCCCGATAAACAGGTCACGACAGCAATGCAAACCCTCGAAATCAATCTCAGATGTCTGCTAGCTTCTTCGTACTTGGAGCTTGGAGAACATGCCAAATCCTATCGCTGTGCGCAGGACTTGAGGCTCACAAAATTGTTCGATCGCTACCGTACTTTTAATCCACCGGAAGGGCCAGACTGGGCTCGCATAATGTTCATCCAGGCCATGGCTGGAAAGGCCTTGGGTCAGCCGGTTCAAGCGCTCATGGATCTCGACCTTGGGCTGACTTTTTCTCCTGATGATGAGGCAATGAAGGAAGAGAGAAAATCTTTGTGTGTGTTTGTACGGAAAAAGATGAATAGCGATTTGCAGATGAATGGGGCGCGGGCTTTGGATAGGAGGACTACAAGGTTAAAGAAGCGTCAACCCTCTGCTGTAGCTCAGAGCGTGGTGTGATGGAAGAACCTTGAAGCATGGAATATAGAAAAACATGCCATATAGACTCTGCTTATGGAAGCATGGTGGGCTGTCTTTCATGTGGGGCCAAGATGAGCTACTGCCATACCACTGAGCGAAAAAGAAACAAACGGACTGGGAAAGTGGCTTCGAACGGTACCCCGATTCTAAGTAGTCAAAATAATTCTCTCCCTGCGATAGAGACGACCAATATCCATCTCTTATCATGTTTTACGTTGCCAAATTAGCTCTATCACATTAAAGGTACTGGAGTGAAGCTTCACGGAAGAGTGTTGGATGGTCTTCTTTGGGTTAGCCTTCTTCTATTTTGTCAGCCGAAGAGCACACAACAACTTTTGCATAACTCTCTTCCAACATTTACTGCCATCATAAACCCAGCAACGAAGGATCAACACCTGATACACGACCACATCATTTAATCACCATACTGGGGCAACGGCATGCCATTTCAGGCTTTTGGTAAACGACACATTTGGATCTAGACCCAGCGAGACTGACCTTTCAATTACTACGACACTAAGTTGAACACCCTTTTTTTCGGACCAACATCAGAGACCGACACTCGAGGTCATCCAAGTATCCGACAATGTCTGAGTCCCCTAGGTCTACTCCCGCGGATTTGATGCCTTCAGACAAAGATCCTCCGACTTGTGCACTTCTCAGGCTACCTACCGAGATCCGGGATGAAATCTATCGCTATCTACTCTCCTCAGAGTACATTAAATGCAAGATCCCATACCCGGTAAGTACATTTACCGTCTTCATCGAGAGCTCTGTACTCTTCCTTTATGGTCCAGGGCTAACGCCGACGGTATAAATAGGGTCGCGCATTCGAAACCACCTACTACACCTACCCTTTTCACAAACAAATCCTGTGCACGAATCGCCAGGTCTACCGAGAGGCCATACACATTTTCCGAACGGAAAACCTGTTCTTCCGCTTCACCACCAACCACCCTGACGTTGGGCACATTCTCTGGTCGTCGCAAGGTCTTCTCCTCCTCACTCACGGCATCCGGGCTGGCTCTTTCAGGCACCGCGCCATGGACGTCATCCACTATTGCCCTCGATCAGGGACTACCGGGGATCACAAAAACTGCGATTGCGCCCATCTTGACTTTAAGACATGTCTGTTCGTGAGCGACCAATTGCCCAACTTGTTACGTACTTTGAGGGCTTACAGCCAGCAAGGCAATCGATGCCTTGCACAAAGTTCGTTCGCGGTCTCTGTCTTCGATGACTTCGATCAGTGGTCCACTGAAACACAGCCGGGTACCTCTTATGTTTGTCCACGCATCCGGAATCTCCTAGACCCATTCAAACTCCTCTACGACGTGGATGATCTAGACATCCAAGGATCGGTGAATGAACCATATAGGCAGTCGATTGTAGCAAGCGCTACACAACGGGAGCCAACAGTAGCAAAAATCGTCACTACTGCATCGGCATTCCAAAAACAAGGCGACGAAGCCTTCCGCAATCACCATTTCGAACTCTCACTCTCCTTGTACACATCAGCAATCAGCGAAGTTCAGGTAAACCACCATTGGGCTGATTACACGGGATTTGTGACGACAGGGCAATATGCTGGGATGAGCACACCGCACGCCGTGAGGAGGTTCAAAATCCGGATTCATTCGGACATGGCGGGCGCTCTCGTGAAAGTAGGTGAATACAGGAGAGCGACGGATCACGCAAAAGAGGCCATCAAACAGAGAAACACGCGCGGATCACCACCGGAAGAGTGGGAGGGGCTGTATCTCACAACCACCGACTGCGCGAAGCCGTACCTCTGGGGCGGACTGGCCTACGAAGGCCTCGGAGACCTGAATCGGGCGATCTACGGAGTGGGAGAGGCGTTGTTTTATTACCCGGGAAACAAGAGGTTGGAGAGGGAGTACAAGAGGTTGGAGCTGGAGATTGAGAAGCAGGGGATTGTGCCTACGGAACATGCGTTCGGAAAGGGTACGAACTGGTGGGTGCGCCCACTGGTGGTGCGGAGTCAGAGGAGGTTGGGGGCATCGCAAAGGTAGCCGGAAAGACAGCTCAGTAGGCAAAGCCTTTAAACACTGGCTATGTATCTCGTCGTCATGGTAGACCGGCCTACTTTCCAGGCAAGCAACTTCAAAGTTCTGGATCTCAGAGGCATGCAGTCTTTACCTGTGCACATTTTTTTTATTTCAAAAAGTGTTCTGCATGATAAAGGAATAGCCTGCACAGCCAAGGACAGTCCTGGAGTCAGGGGACAAAGCAGGATTTTTTTTCACACTGATTCACGCTACCTCGTAGTTCAGGCCTACACCGTTGACCTCAATCCCTCGCTAAATACTTCCATCCTCTCTCAATTGCATCCCATCAGCCCCTTCAAGAACACCCTAAGAACTTTTCTTGACTCTATCAAAGTCCGCAGGATATCTCATCACGAACGGCTGTCCATACCTCTTCTTGCGTCCATCCCTGTCCAGACCCTTCCCTGCCAGAGCTAGAACCTCTCTGACCGTCATCAGCTGTCTCTCTTTGTGTTTCCTCTCGTCATCCTCGAACAGTTTCAACCCCTCCTCCAGATGGGGTGCGATGTCCACCGCTTTCTGCATCGAGCTGACTGCTTCCCCCCACCGACCGAGTTTGTTATTGGCACGCGCATGCAGTTCATAAGCCCTAAGGTAGCGACGATCGGCCTCGTGGTCGATGTCGGGTGCACCCCCATCCTGGTCGATGGTCCTCACCGCGCGTCCGCTCCATTTGCGACATTGTTCGTACTGTTCCAGTTGGGCGTGAGCTGCTGCCAGCTTGATGCGGAGGCTGAATACAATGTTTGTATAGACGTGGTGGAAGTCGCTTCCAGCGGTGGAAAATGAGATAGGGTTCGCCGCCAACACCCGCACAGGCTGGTCGAATCTGGAGCATGAGTTTTTCAGGTCGGTCATGGCGGCTTCGTAGAGTCTGATGGCCTGACTGAAGCGGTCTTTAGGTTTGGTATTTCGGGCGTTGAAGGCATCGTCGCCTTCTCGGATCTTATCCCGCACCTTGAACGAGCGTTCTTGTAGGCTGGGGGCCTTTTTGCAGATGTCCAGGCATAGCTCTGTTTTGTATTGTTCGTCCAAAGATCCGGTGATGTTGGTGGATTGAAAGCTGTGGAGAATGCGAAGAGGTTCTAGCAAGCTTTTCACTTGCGGTATGGTGAAGGAAGCACGGTTTGGGCTTGTTTCAGCTGTTGTATTGCAGTGCAGGTTGACTGAGAGCGTGCTCTCATAGATGGCCTTTGACGATTCCCCACCAAGAAGTAACGCAGTGCAAAAGGCTGGCAGATCAGCTCCGGCGAAAATGCGCTGGGAACAGTCAAGACTTAGTATACCTGATCCAGAACAGAAAAACGAGTTGCAGTACTCTTTGGAGTACCCACCTGAAAAGGATGTTTATCCTGGTAGTGGATAAGGTGTTCCAGCTCGACTTTGATGTGCAAGACACTATAGACAAAGCCAGATGCTATCGCACCTTCTGCAACAATCGGCACCCCAAGCCAGTCAAAGTCGACGTTCCAATCTGTGAGGTCAGATGTCACCTCCACAAACATGTTCTGATCGTATAGGACACAGCTGGCCTCCCGGTTAATCTGGCGATTGGCCCCTAGTATTCCGGGGTGGAAACGATAAACATGTGTAGGACGAGGTGTGCAGTCGAAGTCTTTGGTTAAGTCATAGTTATACTCCCATTCCTAGTACATCTTTTGAGCTCTTGCCATGTTGAACTAGATTTTTGCTGGGTAACTTACTGGGTCTTCTTCCCTGGGGTAGTGCTTGGTGTACTTGGTTGAGAGTAAGTAAGCATATATCTGGTCACGAGTCTCGGCAGCGAGTCGCAAGAACGGAGGTGTCTCCATTGTTCAAGGGCTTGCGCGTATCGATGGTTTCGTTATACGCTGACAGGATACAGGGTTGATAAAGTGGCGTGTGCTGATGGGGAGATGGGGAGTTTTTATCGATGGTATGGACGTGGTGTCGAAGATAGTTGATGTGTTTTGGGGTGATGATCTTATTGGTCTTGTAAGATTGAAATTTTCCAGACTAACCTTCTTCAACCGTGATTGGTGTTATCGCCACTTCATTAACAACCCAGGCAGTGTTTCTCCAGCGTGACACAGTCTGCTATTGGTCAACTACCCGAGGCGTGACAGGTACTGCAATCTTCCAAGGCTCCCATGGTCACTGACTTGACTTCTTTATCCTTGACGCCCACCGGGTCGCTTGGCTTGGATTCCTGAAGACGTGGCTTTATTCGAATGATTCGAACTGTAAAGTCCAGACATGGCCGACAGCCGAGAACTGTGTCCGTTTCTGAGTCTTCCACTCGAGATTCGGAACCCCATTTACTCCTACCTGCTTTCCACCAAGTACACAAGAGAAGACATGATACAAAAGATCACGGTAGGTATTGCTTCCCAGTCACTCAGCTGGATACTGACAACGCATACCAGATTTCTGATAGCAAATACAAAGGATCCCACTACCGTCCAGCTCACAAGTACCACTTTCAGCCAGCCATACTCCGCTGCAACCACCAGGTCAACCAGGAAGCTACGGCCGTCTTTCACAATACGAATCTTTTCGTCTCGGTCTCCCATAATTACAGCAGCGGGGAGATCTCAGCTTTCGGAGAAAAGTTCGATCTCCTCGAGAGCCAGTGTGATGGACGTGGCTTCCCTGTCCTTGCGCGTGGTAAAAAAGCACGGCTCTTCGACGGCTACGCTATGGAGATCTATCTCGGTAGAGCTAATAGGAGAGACGCTCGAGGAAGGTGGTGGAACAGCCCGAAGCCACAGAAATGGGAAATCCGACCAAAATTCATGATCGCGTCTGACGATTTGCTGCAATTTTGCAAAATATTCCTACTCCTCAGTATGAGGGCAGCAAAAACAGATGCAGAGTCCGACTCGATGTTACATCTCAAGAAAGCAATGCTTCTGGTAGATGTCCTGCATAAGACTGATCAGCACAACCGCGCAAATGAGGGTCCAAGACCAGCTATACGAAGACTTCTAGAGCCTCTCGCTTACTTTCACAACATAGGACTCGTCATAATCGAAGGCCCCGTGCCAACGCTATATTCTGAGGCCATCAGGCAGAGAATTCAAAGGCGAGCACCGAGCGCGCAAGACCTGGTTCATGCAGTGTCCTCACTGGTAGAACAAGGTGACGCAGCTTTCCTCAAGAGAGACTTCCATTCAGCTGTTTTTGTGTACAAGAGCGCTCTTGAAAAGCTCCATGCCGGCAGCCAGAAGCGCCCAAAACTTGAGAGGATGGTCGAAGGTACATATACAGGAATGGTCATCGGCGGGGTCAAAAATTTGCTCCAACACAAAGTCTACTTGGGCCTTTCCAAAGCGAGCTTACAGCTCAAAAGATTTGAAATGGCGCATCATTGGACTCTTGCCGTCGCCCGCGGTCTCAGAGATTCACGTGAAATACTCTCACAGATGTGGTTCTGCCGAGCTTTGGCGAGCAAGGGGCTGGGAGAGCTGGAACAAGCCCTTAAAGAGATGGAGATGGCGAGGCTGATACAACCCAATGATCTGGGAATCCTGGCTGAGATAGCTATCTTGTCTAGCCTTCTGGGACCGGGGAAGCAGCAAGCAGAGGCCGTTTGAGTATTCTTTTGAAAAAGAAGAAGGTGTAAGAACTTTGCTCCATAGCCATTAGGACGAATATCGGAGTTACTTGTTATGACACTACCACGCACCTGATAGTTTTAAGTCCTTTGAATATTTCCTGAGCCATCGAGGACAGGAGCACAAGACCAGTGAAAGTCCCAAGTTAACTGTGACTCGTTGCCAGCCATTCGCTAAATCCCAACAGGCAAGGAAGAAACAAACATTTGCGCTCAATGTCATTTTGTTCTATCTGTAGCTGAGTGTGAATTTTCATACAAGAATTAGCGTTGATAGCTGGCTGATTGCCTCTTCTATATATTTATTGGTCCTAGGCCTCTAGTGGAGGCACCCACCAACCGGGGGCTATTTTAGCACCCTTGGTGGACAGAACTAATTCCGGCACTGACAAGTAAATCGCCAGACTGTTGGGAGTGACGGGTATGAGTAGATGGAGAAACCTTCAACACGCACTTGATTTGACATAATCTTGTTTTTTAGTGGCTTTTCCATGAGACTTGCAGCTTACAACACGGCAAATCCACATCATCACAGTGTATTTAATTAACGTCAATTCTCCACAAGTCAACCCGCTTCATTTCCACATCGATTCGCTTCTTCACAAGATCTCAATTCTCGTACGTCTAGATCTAGGTCACAGCTTCCAACAGAACGCATGCTAGAAATGTCCGACACTAGCGGAAGTTGTCTGTTCCTCGGCTTGCCCTTGGAGATCCGCGAGCAGATATATGGCTATCTTCTGACAACCAAATCGACTAAAGAATACGTCCTGCACAAAGCACCGGTATGAGACACTGGGTCACGCTGTTTTCCAATACTTACTCGTACTCCAGAGACTCGGCAGAAGGAACCCAAGAGAAGTCAATCCAAGCAGTCAACACCGGCCGGGGCATGTATATCGTTTTCAGACAGCAATATTGCGCACGAACAGACAGATCAACAAGGAGGCCGAGCATGTCTTTTATGGCTGGAATCAATTCGTGTCCATATCCCATAATTGCAATGTCATGAAAGCCTTCAACCATCTGCAAGAGATTTCCAAAAAAGAAGGCATCAAAAAATTCTTCGAACGAAGAGGCTTCCCGGTCCTCGCGATAGATCAGACAGCAAGAGATTTCAAACACTACGCCATGGACGTCTTTTTTGGTCAGTTTCCCACCGCACCAACCTCTGCTTCGCTAGAATACTGGTGGACCAACGGAAAGAGAAGCGAAAACGACTGGCGGCAAAAAAACATGTTCATGATTGCCTGCGATGACTTACAGCAGCTCTGCAAGGTTATTCTAGAGGTCCATCATTGCGTATACCGTCGTGCTAGGTTCCCATCTCGAGACCATACAATACTCCTTGTGGACGTCATCAATCGTGGCGACCGGCTGAGAAGATGCTTGAAAGATGGCTCCATTCCAGTCGATATCAGAGTAAAGCGACTTCTCGAACCCTTTCGAAGGCTCCACAGCATTGGCAGAGTCATCATTGCAGGACGGATGAACGAGCAATACAGGAGTGAGATTGTGGCCAGTATTATGAGAGAGCCACCAACCGTCGAGGATCTGATTAACACGGCTTGTGCGACCAAAGCAGAAGGCGACGAGGCCTTTCGCAACAAGGACTTCTACGCGTCTATTTCAGCGTACGAGAAGGCGTATAGCGACATCGAGGCTGGTCATCAGCCTTCATCCCGTTTTGCTTTAGTTGCAAAAGGCAAATACGAGGGAGTACTGGTCTCGAGCGCCAAGGAACACCTCTTATTCACACTGCGTCTGGATATTGTGGCAGCCCTGTTGCAGCTTCGTGAGTGCCAGCATGCTCAAAACTGGGGAAGGGTGGAGCTCTACACCCACAAAGACGTGATCTCCGACGCCGAATTTGCTCGGATTTGGCACCTTAGGTCGCAAGCTAGTAGAGGGTTGGGTCACTACGAGGTAGCCTATCATGAGCTGGTTCAGGCGGTAGCAACCCATCCTGATAATAAAGACATGGCGGCGGATCTTGGAAACATGACCGCCAACGTATTGAAGAGCTCGGCGGTAACGCTGACATGGGCGTCATCGTCTGGGGTTTGAAAACATAATCGACTGCAGAGAGGGTGCCGGACAGACCTAGAGGAGGCTGCGGGAAGGAAAATCCGTGTATGATGGGAAGAGATGCATCGAAGCAAAGGGCTAGGGTGGCGAGCGATAGATTCTGCGAAAAATCAGCCACATGGTTGGACGACCGGGGGAATACAGGCTTAGACTACGAACAGGACATTATCTTGATCAGAAACATCACACTGCTCACGTTGTTCTTCTCTAGCCCAAAACGGTTACTCCAACGGACTTTACCTGTTTCAAGAGTGGACGCCCTCCCCAAGATTCCTCTTTCTTTTCTGTTCTGTGCTCCGAGCCTTCGACTCCCAGATTGATTCCCATAAGCTGTACGCATCTTCCCTCACTCCTCTCATCGATTCCAGCCACTCTTTTTCGCGAAAAGCTCCGCTAGCACAACTTCATTTGTGTTCTTCAACCGCACAGTTCCCACACGACACAGAACTTCCTTGCACCCGTCTGCTTCCCGCGAAGGCCAAATGGCATGTCCCTTTCTAGAAAAGACAGCACTGGAGATCCGCAACGAGATCTACTCGTACCTACTGTCCACTGAGTACACAAAGCGGCCCGTTTGTGATGATGAGGTGAATCTCCTCTTACTAGCCGATTAATGTATTTTAGCATCCAAAGTCGCTGATTTCGAACTCAGATACCTTCGCGTATCAAACGGAACTTAGGATGCAGCCATTTGTATGACTTGCAGCCGGCAATCCTCCGTACCAACAAGCAGATCAACAAGGAATCCCGCCGTGTCCTCTACAATGAAAATCTGTTCGTTCTGGTCAAATACCCTCAGGGTTTTGGGTTGGATGAAGTCCTGACACAGGATTTGACACTACTGGCCGCCAAAGAGGACGACGTACGCTGTTTCCGGTCAGATTTGCTTATCAGCTTGCACGTGGACCTTTGTCTGCCGGGGATTGAGTCACAAATTGTGATTGCTGCCAACGAGCTTCCGGTGTTCTGCAGATTACTTAAACGGTTCGATGACAAGATTTCCGGATTTTTGTCCAGACTCATATTGTCACTCGGAGTTTTTCCCTCTTACACACTGGACGTCGACGCTTCCGCGCATATGAGAAAATCCAGCCGAGTGTCATGGAAACCACGTCCTTTACTGCAACA